ACAGCTCGTGGAGACAGTGCTGCCTGCAGCCGACTTACCCAGCTAGGTGTTCCGGGACGCTCACAGCAGTGGAGACCGCGGAGCCAGCCCTCACAAGTAGTGTGGGGGGTTCGGTAGTAAAGTACGTTACTCTTTTTAGAGTTTTAGTAATGTAACACCGTTTTCTGAGGCGAACTTGCCCAGATTCCTCGCCGCTTTAAGTCTAGCGCGGGCACCCACCAAGCCCTCTCGAACCGGGGACGTGGCGTTCGCGAACCTCGACGCTTTACTCCTCCATACCAACTGCTTATCCCTTTCGTTAGTGCGGTGACTGGGTATCGCTCAACCTGATGCCAGAGCAGCAGTCTCACAATGGTCCTACTAAGGATTCATCGGTCCGACGTCACCTCACCCTTTTAGCCGTCGCAACCTCAAAGCGTTTCCGCCCACATGCCTCATCAGTCCTCTTCCTTACACGCTGCGTATGTGTCAAATATGGCCCGTTTCAACACCTCTCCGATGCCGCCGCTATGCAATTTATCGCCCCCCATACCTCCATACCAGTACCGAAAGTATATTGCGTGTTCGAAAAGAAGGGAATTACATACATAGTTATGTCCCGCATAGCTGGCTCGCCGATTGGTCACAACTGGGAACAACGACCTGAAGGGTCGAAAACGCACCTACTGAAGCAACTGAAAACTTATATGGAAGAGATGAGATCGCTGAAACCTCCAAATTTGGGTGTGGTTGAAGGTGTTGACGGTGGCAAGCTTTATGACATGCGTCTCCCAGACGGTCTGAAGGGATTTGGGCCTTTGGATTCAGTTCGGGACTTTCACTCGTTTCTCAGAGGCGGGATAAGCGCGTCTCCGGAACAGATCCCAGAGGTCAACGAACTGGTTAAGAAGCATGAACAGGCCCAATTCTCCACATGCTTCACCCACGGCGACTTGAATAGCATGAACATCCTTGTCAAGGGAGGCAATATCGTTGGAGTCATCGATTGGGACACAACCGGTTGGTACCCAGAGTATTGGGAATATACGACCGCTTATAACGTCAATCCGTACAATGGGTTCTGGAAGGATGAGATAGGCAAATTTCTCAAAGAATATCCAGAAGCAGCTGAAATGGAGCAGCTCAGGCAGAAATACTTTGGAGCATTTTGACCGGCAAATCTGCGGGCCATCCTTGCTTTGGATATTCTTCTACTTCTTTCGAACGAACTAGGAGTAACATTTTTCCTCAGCCTAAGGTTTCCCCGGTGCAACCTTTGAACCGGAAATAGAAATAGGTCTAGTCTGTTGTACAGATGTCGGTACGCTTCAGGGAATGACCTCCTTCTCCTCCAACAGATCATATGTCGGCACGGAACCCGCCTTCTACGTACCAGACCCATCATATCGCCTCTGTTGTCGCTTCTGTGCGACATAGGTATTCGACGTTTGCCCAATTCTCTGCCAACCCGTTACCCTTGTTCCTAAACTCTTCCCATCAGCTTCCAACGCTGCAATCGCATCCCTGACCCAGATGCGGCAGGTCCACGCTGGATCATCCTGTACAATGGGCACTGCAGCAATCGTCGCGGCCATCTGAGCCCCATTTGCAACCTTTCCAATCATGACCCGCGCTAGTAGCATACTGGTCTATGCCAGAGGGATATCTAGTGCCTCATAGTGCCATACATGGCGTCCTGGCCTGGCTGGATCGAGTTTCTGCCTTGGGTGATATCGAAAACCCCTTCCGCCTTCGACTTCGTTCTTGGGTCCTACGATGATGGCCCAGTGATAGGGGTGGGGTCCTGCCCGCCACGAGCGTAGACGTAGATGCGGTCTTTGTTGGAGGCAACCATTGTAGCTAGTGCAGAGAGGTGGGAAGGGGTCTCTTAACGCCGTTAGCTAAATCCTGTCTCTAGAACCACTCTCCACACACAGATCTAATTAACAATCAGAACTTTGTTGGGGTCGGTATTTTGGGAATAAATGGTCTTTTCTAGAAAAGTTCTCCTCCTTGTGGCTGCTCGCACGTGCGTTGGCTAATTGTCTCCTTTGTGTCAGTTGGTAATGACCGAATATATAGCATTCGATTTAAATATCTATTTAAAATCTCAGTTGCATATTTACTCTACCAAATATGGAGCGTTTCGCTTCTGCGGATTTTATGTTTCATCTTCAAAATGACGAGGTTGCTCGGTGATTCGCTTGTTCCGCGAAGCGCGGGCTGTGCCGCAAGAACAAATAAAAGACGACCGCACTCTCGCTCAGATCACCATCCATACCTTCCCCATCCTCAACATACAATCTCCAACACGATAATCGCCAGCGAGAGCCTACCATTACGCGCTTCTAGACTGCTTCGCACGGCTCGCCATCAAACGAAACCATGCCTCGCAACAAACCCCGCCTCCAGCTCGCTCTCTACGCGCGGCCGAAGCACCCTGGCACTTACCACTACGCGCTCTTCATTTCTCAAAAAAGCACCAAACAACAACAGGCCAATTCAGCGACAAAACACCATGTCAAAAACACGCTCCAAAATATCTCCGGCGAGCTCACACAGCCATGGCGCTACGAACGTCTTGCCATCTCGGACGTCCAGCTCGAACAGCGTCTACTAGTCCGTATCGTTATAGCTAAGGTTACGTCCCCAGATGCGCTTGAAAGGATCCTTGAAGCAGTGCCGGTTTACCAGATCGATGACCCGGATCGAGCGAAAGCGCAATCGTTCACTTGCTTGACGTGGGTTCGAGCTGCGCTGGAGGAGCTGGGGAGGCAGGGAGCGGTGGCTGGGTTGGGGGAGTGGGAGGGGATTCACAAGAAGGCACTAGAGTACGTGGAGAGGAAGAAGGACATGGGTAGGTGGGATGCGGGCTGGAAAGGGGAGGCGGGGGTGCCTATGTTGGATTTACTTGACGGGAGAGAGGTTGTTGGGTAGGAGGCCGGACTTAATCACTCTATTGCAATTCTGAGACAGCATTAAATGTTAAGGCGACTGACAAAAGGATCAACAAAACGTATTTATCAGAGTGCTTTACAAAGGGTGAAACTATGCATACCAGTTTTAAATTCTTAACTCTTTCGACACCTTAAAGCCAGCCTCGAAATCTCTGTTGGCCATAACAGCGGTATTCAGATAGCCATACGCAATTTTCTTGCCTGCGCTCCTCACCAAGACATACCCCATTCGCAGTATTGTTAATCTAAATCAGTGTGTTAGCGCCGTGTTAAAATACTCTTAATCGGACATTACCTTGCCTGTCTTCTGTTAAATCGATAGGGCTGAAGTTTCTCCAGATCTCTGCGAGATCTATTCGCAACTGCATCTGCTTTTTAAAAGAAAGGCTTTCTACACGTTCTCTCCATTGCCGCTTCGTCTACGCCATCGTATCTAAGCACTACGGTAACGCTCCCCCCCTCGTATCAGGGGGAAAGCCGGGGCCCCTATTTAGGTGACTTCATGCCACTTGCCCGTGGTTCTGTGTTTAACTAGCAGGAGCTCTAAGCTTCTCTTGTCTCCTAGTTATTAGCTTTATAAGCAAGCTTTTTCAGAATCTATTCTATTATTATAGAGCCTTCACATACGCACAGTTAACTTATCTACTTTATCTCAAGACCGTACATTCATGACCCCGAATCGCAGTTATTTAAGAAAGAATTACCTTCTTAAGCAAGCTAAATACAAGACTCTGGACAGTTACCACACGCCAGAGCACATCTATCTCCCTCGGCTATAATGTGTGGCGCTTTATAATCACGGAAATGCACCTCTTCATCCACGTCCCAACCATAACGATCTGCTAGACTTTGTAATTGATCTTCTGTTGGCAAAGGGTAGGTCACGTAGCCTAAGCAATCAAGTCAGCCATCCGAGAACGGATAACAATTACTCCATTGCGGTAAAAGGCGAATTACCATACTCCTTCTCCCTGTCCTCCCTCCACTGCCGGACGCGGTCCCGTAACGCATCCCTCAACGTTGGTTGCGTTATTGGACTATGAGTATCCCAGTTTCCATCGTTGTGAAGAGATTCTGCGTGCTCTAGCATCTGGGCCGTGGAGCTGTACTGTCCGAGCCAAGCCTTCCGAATCATCGAGTCGATGCCGTTGTGCCCGGTGCGGATCTCTGGGAGAACAAGGGCCCGGTTGTCGTCGACCGATAGTTCAGGCTGGGTTCCCGTTTCCATCTGGAATATGAGCGATGCCATGGCAAACCTATCCGTAGCATCCGAAATAGTCTTTGCTGGGCCATTTAGGGGGATCGGGAGGTCTGGACGTGGGTAGGCTAGATTTGGGTAGCCAAACGGACAGGAGGCGCTGAAATCGCAGAGCAGGGCCCGGCCCTGAGTGTCGAAGAGCACATTTTCAATGCGTACGTCTGAATGGGAGATACGGAGGTTGTGTAAATGAAGCAGGGCCCGTATTATGTCCTGATACCACAGGATTCGGCCTGGTTGCGCAGGGGCCCTGAATTCGGATAGAGGACGATATTTCCGGAGGTAAATGCCTTCGGCATGGTCGGTGTCGATGGCTTCGACGATGTTGGGATGAGGCAGCCGCTCAAGCAACCGAAAGACGGTCCGCTCGTCGTTCATCAAGCTGAAACTAAAAAGGGTTTCTGAGGCGTAGAACCTGTAGTCCTGCAGCGAGGCATCACTTGTAGGAGGTTCATACGCCGTTAACGCCTTAAGGACGACATGCTCATCGATCTTGTAAACTTGCGCCGATCCCCCGGCGCCTACTAATTCCATGCCCATTGGGGACTGTGACTTTATAGTGAAGGTCATGCAGTCCGAAGGTTGTGTTGCGGGAGTAATTGTCATGGTGGTGACGTTAGCCGAACGACCGAGAAGACGGAGAGACCAATGTAATGTTGAAGTAACGAAGTGGAGTGTAACATTGTGGATTGTATCTGAAAGCTCTGGTTATATACACTAGGCTAGCGCAATCACGTGATTAACACGTGATCCTCAACAGTAAACAATACAGCTCCAGTCCTCCTGCCAGGTTAAGGTGTCTTGTTACGCAAGAATCAGTGATGGAAGTTTATGACCAGGGGCACAATTCTTCGTTCTAGAATCACAGTGAATGTTCTACAGGATGACATAATAGTGCCAAGGCCCAAAGCGGGGCCGCTTCCATGGGAGTTCGAAACCTCCACTATCAGGCGCCCGCTTGTTCACGAATCCTTTACACTGCCGTTCAGTAGTCTGGGTACGCTTCGTAGAAATATCGGACTAATTCTTGTGAAGATGAACTTGTATAGAGCGGGGTCGCTGCAGGCATCCATTCGAGCGGTCTCTTTAGCAAATCCTTCTGCTGCCTGCATGTCCTGATAACTTTCTGTTCCCCGTGCGCTAATGACTCGCAGTCCCCCATATGGAACACCCACTTGCATGCACTCAATCAGGCGAAATTCAGGGCCTTCCATGGCACATGTAACGGCACAGCGGGCAACTTAAGATGAATCCCACTTCATAATGCACCTTCGTTCAACTGGACACTCCCTCTGGCCGGTTTGGGTGCCTGCGGGCTCTCGGCAGGGTTCATACATTTCCCAGTTCCTTAGCTACTTCTTGTTTATGTACAAGTCGACGTAGTCGCAGGTACACGGATGACGATGCACGGGAAGCCCTCCATTAAGATAGCTGTCTCCGTCTCAAAGCGCTGGAACTTGGGCATGCGGCTGAGCGTGGAGATGTACTCCCCATAGCTTGCTCGCCATCACTCTGGTGACTGCAGCGAGCAGAATCTGCGGCGAAAATTTGAACGATTCCCTCCGCTCAAACCCACTCGGCATGGCCTTCGCCGTGTCGTACTGTATCATGATGCCGCGGGAGGTCTGATGCCCATTATTCCTTGCTCTCCTTCCGTCGTGGCGAGCGATGGTTCATGTTCTTATGCGTAGATCGAAGCGGTCGACGTCGCTTAGGTTGTGGTGTCTTCTGCCTGCGGAGTTTAGAATATCGCGTCTTTTTTGCTAGTATTGTATATGTAGTATGCTCGCATCGTCTTTATGATGAGGTCGAACGAATTCATGACTGCGCGCGCGCCGTGGGCATGGACTACGAGCGCGTTTTTAGGATAGACGAGGGTAGGAGGCTGGCTGGTCGGCGAGCTATCTGCAGATGACAGCGGAGTTGAATGTCGGTGGAAGAGTTTGCAGACACTAGGTACTGCCACAGCCAGGCGAGATATCAGGCATACAGAGCGAAAGGGTAGGGTGTGGGAATAGCTGAGGATGCCCTCTATGAGTTGCCTAGGCGGCCCATTAACGAGTTCGTAGGGTGCCGTCGAAGTTGGCCTGTGTTTCCGCCGCATAGGTTAGCATGTTATACTGCAAGCGGGACCGGTGAAATTACCTGCCACGTAATCTCCCTGGCACATCGACTTCCACTCATCCTGCTGCCCCTTTCTTCTTCCAAACTTCATCTCCCCGCCGTCGAAGCACCCGTCACTTCTGCAGCACAGCCCGCTGAGTCAACTGCTCCTCCAGTCTCCTCTGCGCGTCCTTGCCCACCACGCAAAAGCGCGCCAGCCCCATCTCACTCATGCCCGTCACCACCTTGGGCAGCGCCTCCAAGCGCGCCACCTCGCGCACCTTCTCCGGCGAATCAAGCAGCCCGCCCAGCCGAAACAGCCACATCGTCTCGCCGTCCGCGCCCGTCGTCGGAATCGTCGCGCTGTGCTCCTTGAGCACTTTGGGCAGCTGCAGGCTGTGCTCGTAGGCCGCGCGGTCGTAGCCCACTGCTTTTTTTCGTCTTAGACGAGCGCCCAGTGGGCGTCTGTGATGCGCTCGCGGGTCGCTGGGCCTTGGTTAGCTGGTGTACATATGGAAGGTGCAGGAAGAAGAATATAGCGTCTTTTTGCTGTTACTGTATATGTAGTATGCTCGCATCTTCTTTATGACGAGGTCGAGCGAATTGATGACTGCGCAATGTGTATGAAGATGGCGAAGAAGTGGGAGAAGGATTGCTCAGCCCAAAGGCGTTCGGCATACGCACCATCAGCATGTTGCTGCGCAATCAGCTGGGTCGCCTCCATGCTCGAGTATCCAAAGAGCCGCTTCCACCGCTCGATCGTATCGTTCTGCGGGCATTCGGATGCGAGTTGGGCGTCTGCTGCAGTGGCAGCGGTTGCCATGCGCTCGACTTCGTCCCAGAGAGGATCCATTTGACTTGTGTATGTACGTGTTGTCTGAGTTGGTATTGTGTCGGCTGGAGGACTTCGGGATTTGACGAGATTTATAGCAGGAAGGTGGTGCGATCTTTTAAAGTCCGAACGTGAGCATTAACTCATTTGAGCGGTGAGTCATTGCCGTCTCTCCGAACTGTGGTTCAGAGCACCCGTAGTAGAGGAACGGTTAACCGTGGACGAGCGAACTGAATGACCGCATAACTGGTTGATGAATTCATAGAACCGCTCTTGAGCTATTATTGCCATGCCACTATATATCGTATAAAAATAAAAAAACCTAAAGCTAGAAGCTCTAGTTATATTAGAATCTATAGCAAGGTAGCTAACAATTCCTACGAGAAGCTCGTCCGGCAGCTGCGCGAGTGTAGGCGCCATTACTAGAGCGGGGAGCGCCGAGGGGGGAGGTGTTGTTATCGTATACATTGTAGTAGTAACGTCAGCGGGAAATAGACACTGCAATAGGGTTCTTTGCAGATATCTAAACGTGTTAAATTCGCTCCACTCCGGTGAAGTGAAGATACCTAAGTATCTAGCACGTACCTAGCAAGTGCCTAGGTACCGCATCGCGTTCCCTCTTGCGGCAGGGAATTCTCCGGATCTAAGGGCTCGCCGTACAGGTTGTACGCACCCGCGAAGGCCTCCAGGGTAGCTGTTGCGCACGCGTGAGAGGTTCCTGTTCACCATGCCCAATGAAGCTAGCACGACCGCTAAGCGATCACCTGACCCCCGCACAGACCCGCTCGCGAAACGCATATAAACTCGCCCGCCCTCTGCACCTTTCGATCCCGCATACTTACCTTGTCGGGAGTCTCTGGGCTCACAAATCCAGAGCTCAAGGAGTCCCGCCTGCATTGCACAACGCGGTGTGGGATTTCTTCTAGTCTCCTACGGGGGCCTAGCCGGCGTAATTTTTGCTGGTCTGCATGCTGCGCAAGCTTTTTCATTGATGGCGTTGCCAATGGGCGATCCCTTGAGGAAGAAGTCGTGGCGTCGGTGGTGGAGAGTGGAGGCTCGGAGTCGCGCCAGTTATGGATGGCCGAAGCGGAGGAGGGCTGATCGTCATGATATTGATGGCGTTGGCCTTCCGTCGACCTCACGTCCCGCGCCTCTGCGATGATGCAGCATTGAAGGCAGAGTGCTGCGTGTTGCTGCGCTGAAGCCGTGCGGTAAGTCGTTCTTTCCACCTCTACTGTGTGGACGTTGCCTGTTCATGGTGAAAATTCTGCTCTCCACCTTACCCGCACGCCCCCGTCCGTTCCTCATCATCTCTTCATGCCTTACCCCACGATAAAAGGTACGCCCGCTTCATCCCTCTCCCTCGCGCTATCGGGTGGCTGTCTCCAACAACACGGTCGTCCTCGACGCCCCATCGCATGTAGGCCGTAAAAGGCACTAGCGCAAGCCTCTCAGACGCAGTACCTTCGAAAGGCGTGTAGCCTCCATCAATTGCTCCAGCAGCTGAGCCTATCCCCTGCTAACGTTCGTATAGCCTCGAGCATTTCGACGTCATCGGACGCCCAAATCCCATTCCTTCTCCACCACCATTATATGCCCGGGCGCTGGCTCGCGATGCCTCGAATACGGATAAATCCATCAATAAGCTACGCCCATGTCCGTTGTTGCCGTGCAGCCGTTCAAAGCTTCCTCACTTGTCGGCTTTGAGATACCCCTCCGTGGGCGAGGTGGAGCTGTTACACAACGAATTTGTTATGTCTCCAGCGCCCTGTGATCCGGCGTGAACAAACACCAATTTACGTACGCACATTGCATTGACAATGTTTAAAGAAAGCCTTGCAGCAGGCGGCCGTTGGATCCGCTGCTTAGCTCTGCAAGGCTGGATTGGCAATCTATTCTGCACGACGCAAACCAATCATTCAGCTGGCGACCCGCGTATACGAACCCGAGCCGGCGGGACCACGCCTTCAACTGCTGGTCATCGGGAGATCAGACTTGACGATGCTGGAAAAGGCAATATGGTGATCCGGACCGTGCATGGGCATTCAAGAATGCGGGGGATCTACGTCAATATTGGCTTCTCGTGCATGGCAGAAATAGCCTCACAGCGTAGTCCCAGGGCCAAGGAGAGCTCGTTCCTGGCTGCATGTGTCAAATTACCCAATAAGCCGGGGCATTAAACAGGCTTTCCCATTCCCCCGTTCGACCCGAGAATCCTTTGGAGCTAGCAACGTGCGTTCACGGCTGATCTCTACTCAGCGAGGAACACTCGATCTTGGTACGCTTGCTTAATTGTGCTCCTATCGATCCTTTGATCCTGGCTTGCTCGTGGTCCTGCGGATGCGAAATCGGAACCGAGTCACGCCATGTTGACCTCAGAGGCTCAAAGTGGCCTCCGGCATGTTTCAGCGACACCGGAAGAGGCTGCAGGAATCCGCCATGTACCCTTACTCTGTATCCGGCCAATTTCTACGGTGGCGATGGTGGTGGCTTCATATTCGGGCGCTAGCTGTGAGCCGCATACACGGGCCACTTTGCGGACCGTCAATGGAGGGAAACGATGGAATGCTCAATACTTCAAGGTCATTTCGAAGCCACTGTTCCACAACTAGCGCTTGCTTTTCGCCCAATAAGCTACCAATCGCTTCATCCGACTCCCATGCTCATGGCAGCGGTAATGTACGCCAACACTAGCGTTGCCGTGTCCACCATTTACGGGAAAGTATAGAGTGGGCTAACCAGAGCATGAGCCAGGCTGGATACTAGCTGTGCTCTCTATTATGATAATTGTATGTGCGGAACACTTCGTCTCGCCCCGGATGACTTCTAAAGCCAATCCTCCAACGTCGTGCTAGGGGTGCTCACGGAAGGCTATACCCACCCGGGTCTGGATATCGCGCAGTCTACGAACAGCGTTCAGAAAAGATGTCCCGGTTCAGAGAAGTGCTGTTCCTTGGTCGAGCACTGTCGTGGAACATGTCAAGGCAGACATCCGCAAGCCAAACCTGGGCCCCCTATAACACTTACCCGGCCTGCCAAGGGCAGACTTCCATTTCCATCCCCGAATCTGCCCCCCGGAGGCAGAACAGCCAGCTGAGTACCGCACAAGCGCAAATGCATAATGATGCCATCCTGCCTCAACTTCACTCTCAACTCCTTTGCGCGATGGGACCCGACGAGGCTCACCCCAGCTCGACAACGCCAACATTTCCTCGAAGTCCTCCAAATGCTGCGAGATGAAGTCATTGTCGAGCACTGAGGCTCCTCAGCGGTGGGAAAATGACCACAACCATGGTCACCGGGCACGAGGCGTCCGGAAACTCATCTGATCGTCGAGATGAAGCTCTTGGGAAACGGGAATTCCTCAGTCTACCACTACCGCGATCGACGATCCCTTGAGCACGCCCGGTTTCGAACCTTCGATCGACGGCCTCCTCGTGGGCTCCAGAAAGTCTATATAAACCTCCTCAAACACCGCTCAAAGGCCCATCATCAGCATCCAGCCTTCGCAGCTCCTCTACCAAACCACCAGCACTCTCAACCAACCTTCAGCTTCTCAAGCACCAAGCACCCAACTTCCAAAAATGAAGACCTTCGTTGCCATCCTCTCCTTGGCCGTCCTCGCCGCCGCCTCCCCCCTCGAGGCCCGCACTGCGCCCAAGAGCCCCAAGGAAGCTGGCAAAGCCTGCGGCAGCAACGTCGTCTCTTGCTGCAACACTTCCAACGAGCAGAGCTCGTCCGGCATCCTCAGCGGCCTCTTTGGCCCGATTCTCTCCGGCGGGTGCCTTGGTGCCTCCGTCAGTGTCCGTAAGTACTCACTTGCTCTGCCCTGCTGGCGACACAGCGTGCGGATGCTAACGCCTGCCAGTCAGCATCCTCGACCCGCTCACCGACACTGCGGGCATGTGCGGCGACAACACGATTCAGTGCTGCGAGGGTGACAACCAGACTGTAAGATCTTGGATGCACTCTTCAGAGAAACATCATTGGCTGACAATGCCACAGGGCCTCATCAACGTCTCTCTCAAGTGCGTCGCCTTGTAAGCTCGACATGGGCTCGACACTGACGCGTCGCGCCGGGAAATCGCTCTCCCACGGCGTGCTGGCGGAAGGTCTGTAGGAAGATGGTTGGTGGCAGGTGGGGCCAGCAGGTCTTGGATGGCTGGGCTACGGGACGCGTCCAAGATTGTCAAGGGAGGCATGGCCCTGTTTCTTTGGGTCTCTTGGGGGATATGGGTTTCCTTTGTCAGGCCTGGGGTTGTAGTCTGGGGTGGTGCCTGGGTCGTGGCAGACGCTCTGGGTGATAGTCAATGTAGCTCTGTGCTTGGGTAATTCCTTGGGGATCTCTATGCTGTCATCTACGATGTTGTTTGCTTCTCGTGCTTGGTTAACTCTTCACAGGTTCGAGGATCTCCTGTCTTCAAAAATACGCGCCACTACTTGATCTGTTTCGGGAAGCTCTGGGGGCTAAGAAGTCGTGCGTCAGATGAAACGATGTGAAAAGCCGAGTGGAACTTGCAGTCAAGCCCATTCCAAACAAGCCCGCTGAACGGTGCTTGCGAGGCTCTATACTTCTCTCCCTCAACCCACCACCCACCGATTCACCGATTCATGTATTCATCCAACATTACCATTCTCACACAAAATTGTTTAGACTTAGACAGTTACAATTATATTTCCCTTCCTTCGACTGGAACTTTCACATACTACTAATACCAGAATTGTCTTTCCAATCATCCATTCTTTCTTTCTTTCTTTTCGACACTGACGAGCCAATGCGTGCTCTGGGGTATCCCGCAAAAACCAACAAAACGCCGACCGGTTCTCTATGCTCTCCCTCTCTCTCTCTCCCATAGCGTAGCTTATCCAACCCAGCCGCCGAGTGTACAAAGGAAAAAGAGCGAATAGAGTGTAAAGCGCAGTCATGCCGGCTCAGCTCAGCTCAGCTCAGCTCCGGCTATGAGTGATGTATACAAAAGAAAGAGTAAGTAAGTAAGCAAGTAAGTTCAAGACATCGCCACCCATATACAGCACAGCACAGCACAGCACAGCACATCGTACAAATAACACCAACTCGCCCACCCATACTCAATCCTCCGGCGTATCGCTCCCCGAGCTGCTAAAATACGACTGATCAATGCGCAATATCCACTCAATCTTCTCCCTCTCGCTGCGCGAGCGGAAAATATACGTATTGCTCCGCGCGAAGACGGCCCAGACGGTGTCGCCGGCGGTCCCGGACGACGACCTTGCTCCATTGACGCCGTTCGCGCCCGTGCCTGCGCTGCCGCCCAGGAGCCGCGCGATCTGCGGTGAGTGGTCGACGCGCGCGTTGGTCAGGTTGATCGCGTTGAGCTCGTCGCCTTCGGCGGAGTAGATGTGCAGATATGGCTTGCGCAGCTCGACGAAGCGGCGGATCCAGCGCGTGTTTGTGGGGTCGGGCGTGAGGAGGTAGGAGGATTTGAGGAGGTCGGGGTTCTTGGGGACGAAGCGGACGGTCGCGATGAGGCTCGGGGAGCGCGTTGGGGAAGGGGAAGGAGGTTGGGGTGCGAAAGCGGCGCCGTTTGTGGGCGGCTCGAGGTTCGTGGGGTTCAAGATGATTTCTGCGGGGGCTTTCTTCGTCTGCCACAGGGAAACCACTTTGTTGAGGAGCTCCTTTTGCCGGTCGTCAAGCTCTGAAGAGAATTTTGAGGGAGGGAATGTGGTTAGCGCGCGAGAGGAAAGGACGGAGCGCGCGGTTTCTATCTCTGCGATGCGGCGGCGGCGCTTCTGGAGGGCGATGTAGTCTCGCACGAGTGAGACGCCGCGCGGTGTCCAGCCGCTGAGCTGCTCTTCGCCCTTGATGTAGTCATCGCGCGTATTCATTCGCCATAGATCGGTCGCGCGCTTAACGCTTGTGGGCCGGATGGCGACGCTGAAGATGCCAACCGTGGAGTGTATGACGCGCTGGGGCGTGAAGAAAGTCGAGAACGAGAATAGCGAGGCTTGCCGAATATAAGTACGTGAGCGGATTTGGAGGGAGAGATCGAGCGAGAAGACCATGGGTTCGGCGAGCTTGGCAGATGTCACGTTGAAGAGGAGAGATGCTTGGACGCGGTACTTGTCTGGCGTGGCGCGGTCGAGCAGGAGCGACCGGTGCATTGAGGAGTCCCATTGCCCAACGAAGGTCACGTTTGTAGTACCGTCTGCGTTGTTCTTGACGACGGGCGGGGAGACGAGTTTCACGGGCACTTCCTTGACGGGGCTGTCCAGAGCAGGTGCGTTGCCTGAGGCGTCGAGCAGGCGGATGCGGCCCACACGCATCGAGGTGACGTCTTGCCATTGCAGTGTCTCGCCACATGTATGCGTCAAATTTACCACGATGCGCCGCTGAAGGCCTTGATGTAGCTGGTATACACCCGCATCCATGACGCCGCTCTGAATGACCTCGACTGGTTGATAGGTGCCCTCCTCTGAGATCTCCTGGACCTGAATGCGCGAGAAGATGTCATGCATGTCCTCAGTATAAAATTCTGATTCCGGAAGGCGTGCGTTATGGCGCTTTTGCTTGGGCTTCGGTGCGGAGTCGCGCATGTCATCCCAACTCAACAGCTTATCGAGATGCATGGAGGTGACCTTGGCGAAGATGGAGACACGTAGGAAGGTTGTCCTCGGGCTGGGATACGGGAGGCTCATGCTGTGCACGCTTTCAAATCGTACCGGGCCTTCGTCGAAATCCGTGATCATCTGGGTGGTGGTGGCGCCACTCTCGTCTGATATACCTGGCACGAAAAGCTGTGCGTGCACTTGTGTCCCTTCTCTCTCCGGAAAGCCAACCAGATCGTGCATAACGACGTTGAACTTCAGAGTAGTTGAAGGGGCCTCCGCGGACGATGGCTCCAAGGCCAGCCGGATAATGCCAACTACATTCGTCGTGTAAGGTGAAATGACATCGAGATTAAAGTCCTGCACTCTCGATTGAAAAACAGCAGCAAGCGGAACGTCGACATCGCCGATGCGAGAAAACTCCGGCATACAGGGTTCGGAAAAGGGATTTTCGAGGCTGAAGTGTTGCAGGTACTCTGGGCGGCTCATGTACTGGTGCATCTGATGCATTAGCCGCACGCGGAAACGGAGCTTCTGTAGCGACCATAGATGAACCACGTCGTTCTTGAAGTCGACGACCCGTACGCCAACGCAGGGCTTCGGAGTGGTCTCAAGGAACTCGTCGTCCTCCCCTGGGATCCCGTTGAGGACGAGGTCGTACGAGGAGGGAACGTTGTGGCCAACATCGACGATGCAGAATTGGAACACGACGTGTTTGTCCATCTGCTGGCTCATCACTTGCGCTTCCTTTAAGGTTGCTGCGTTCTGCAATATCGTCTCCGCCATGGTGACAAATTTGCGCTGCCGCCACTGCTGGAACGCGTCCTTAGCCAGCTCCGTTTGTCTCTCGGTCGGCACTGTCGAGTCGTCTCCGTTTATCTCTGGTGGCGGTTCGTGACCGAGCTCTTTCAGTTGACGGTGAAACGCCTCCTTCTGCTCTTGGAGTTGTTTCTGCATTTCTTCCTTTGCTGTTCGGAGGCTCTCTTCCATCCTTGCCTTCTCCGCTCTGATCTCTTCAATCTCGACGTTGGCTTCTTCAGCGGATTTCAACTTCGCCTGATACTCTTCTTTCTGTTTATCGAGCTTCTCTTGCATATCTTCTCGGACCTGCTGTAATCGGTCTTCCTCCTCGCCCGGCTGCGGGGTCGAAGGCATCGTCAAAACAGTATCCAAAGAGAAGTTGTCGATGGTTCCAGTAGAAGCATACTTCTCCCGAACAGGATACGAGCTTACAGACTCCATATCCTCATCGCCATCAAAAAATCGGCTTTCCGGTCGGGCTTTGCGGGTCGCACGAAGCTTCTGGAGGTCCTCAAACAGAGTATCAAACTCTTCGTCTGACATGGATGTGAGCTTCTGGTCGGAGCCCAACAGCGCGGTTACAGCTTCCCTGCGAGCAAACGACCAGTCTGAATCCCTTCCACGTTGGAAAAGAGCGGGCGACACAGCTCGAGGACTATCTGAATCAAACTCGGACTCTGCTCTGCTAACTGTGCTGTATGATCTGTCGTGACCTGGTCGCGGCGAAGGTGAGCTCAGTGCGCTCACAGTTACTGAGTGACGAAGCAGACTCGTGCCCACCTCGGCACGTTCAGCTCGAGCTTCTTGTGGGTTATTGAAGCGGAAAATGTGGAAGTCGCCCAAAATGATTCGAAAACCGCTCCTTAATCTCTTCGGTTTGTCGATGCGGATACCGTTAACCATGACACCCGCGTTGTCCTTGGGGATAACGGTCACAGCAGAATCCACGTTTTCGAATGTGCAGTGCTCGTGCAGAATTTGGGAGCCGGTTAAGCGAATATCGGCCGTTTGGCCTTCTGAATCCACGTTACCAACGGTAGTCGTCCCGGGCTTTAGATTATAAACTAAGCATTCGGCGAGTAGGGGATCATCGCTCAAGTTGACCAAATGCGGCATCTTCTTAGGTGTCGACAAGCCAACGAAGCCCTTCTCGATGCTGATGCCCAGTTCTTCCAGAGCAGCCTCGCGTTCTTTGTGGATCTCCTCCGTCTTGGCAAGCTTCTCCTCCCATGTCTGATTGAGGTCCTTGTACAGCTTCTCGGACTGGTTCAGCTGCTCCACGATTTCAGCCTTGGATACTTTCTTGACGGTACCGTCGGGTTGCGCGATGGACACGATTTGTTTGTCCAGTGGGGTATCCGGAGCGTACTGTTCTTCTATCAGACCAGGAGAGCCACCACCGCTGAGCTTGGACCGGAGTTGCGCAAGCTCTTCTTTCAGCTCTCTTATCATGCGTGCGTTCGGATCCTCGTTGACAACGGCGTGGTTCTTGATGCGCTTGGCGGAGTCGGCATAACGCAGGGTTGACAGCGTTTCCTCGAAGTTGATATCGGCTGGAGAGATGGCCGCAATCATGGCTGTCAAACTGTTGCCTCCCAGGGAGTCCTTCAAGAGCCATGTCAAGACGGAATCTCGATATGGAACCTGGGTATGCTTCTTCTTTCCCGTAGACAGGTCGGCGAGCGCCGCAATGACACGGCCAAGGGTCGACAGCGATCTGTTGATTTCCGCTCCTTCTTTCAGACGCGCTCCGGTGGCTCCCGTAGACGTAGCTCTTTCTGAACCTGCCAGATCTACCAGACTGATCTTTGCCACCTTTTCTCCGCTCATGCTTGTCTCTACGTCGTGGCGCTTCTGGGTAAGGGTAAGGGTGAAGACGGCGTGCGATCGCGAAGAGGTCTCGTTCATGTTCGTCGCGGCAACGGTACGGGCCTTGTTTCCCTCGTCCATCAAGTTTTCAATTTCTGAAAAGGAGCGAACCACCAGCTTGGCTAAATCTTCAACGTACGGACCTGTCGACGGATGCTCGCGGACCCTCAAATTCCCCTTGGTTGACGGGTTCAACAGATCACGGACGCGCTCGTTGTAGATTTCTAAATACGACACCTCGACAGTGCAGCTCAAGTTCTTGTCCTCCTGCATGGCCGTAATCCTCTCGAACATGTACTGGCAGATTTTGGGAATGATGCCATATTCCTCTCCGTAGCCCATCATCGAATACGACTTGCCCGAGCCCGTCTGGCCGTATGCGAAGATGCAGTTGTTGTAGCCGTGGAAGGCATTGTCGAGCAGCGGCTTGCCGAGGTCGTCGAAGAGATGCTCTTGGCCGGCGTAGTTGGGGGCGGCGCGGTCGAAGGACCAGTACGACTTGTCGAAGGCGAAGGTCTTGGTGCCCTCGAGGGCGGCTTTGGCGGCTTTGCCCTTGGCGTCGATGTTGCTAGGGGGCGTGAGGACCGTCTGGCCGCCTTCCATGCGAACGATGCATTGTGCGTTTCTGCCGATTTCTGTGCATCTTTAGCAGCAGGTACTGCAGCGTAGAGATAGGGATGGCTCACCTCTGCTGTTGAAGGGCCGGCACCTCACCACCACCTTGATGTTCCCCCCTCCTGCGGACGCCATGGTGCAGGCTGCGGACTATTCGCGCGGGATCGCAGGAAAGCGGGTTGTAAGGGCGCGAGCGCGGCGCGGAAGACAGACTACGGGCATGCGCGAGGCTCGGGCGGCTTCATGGCACGTCGGCGGGGCCTGCGTGGGTGCGTCGGCGGGTCAGAAGGCGAGTTCTGGCGGTGTTGTTGGGGATCGCGGTCAAGGCCAACTTCTCGAGATTGCAGACGCGATGACCCTCGCACCCCCTGCCCGCCGACCGGGTTAGCCCCGGCAGCCGCTTCACGTGCGGGACCCTGCCGCAACAGTTCCTGTCGCACATCCGCCAAAAGAAACTCTGCCTGCCAAACACACCAAAACACGTCAAACATTGACTCACGCGGGGAACGGCTCTGCGACGCGCATCCCATGTCCGCAGCAACCGACGCCATGTTCGCCCCGCCCGTCAACCGCGCCATGAAGGTGCTGGACCGCAGCTTCTTCCAGAGAACCATTCCCACCTCCGCCGCGCGCATATTCAACCCCAAGGATATTTCGCGATGTCGGAACGACTTGGACAAGAGTCGCGATGCTCTAAAAAACCGATTAATGCCCATACGGCCGGATCCCGACGAGCAGCGCGCGCAAAAGGGCGGGAAGTGCCTGCTCCTGCGCCCAGAAGTAATCCACAACGGTATGACGCACGCTTTCTGCGAATTCTGGAAATGCTGAGTCTGAACATAGGCAGATCGCAACACATGGAGCCCTAAGCTGCAGGAGCTCGAGAGCAATGGCACCGTCGGCGTAATACCGTACCAGCTACATCTCGACTACGATTACTTTACCTACTCCGAGATCACCTCCGCCATCATCCCACCGCCGGAGAAGAAGAACGACGATGAGCTGCCCACGGGCTTCACGCTCGCCGGACACATCGCACATCTCAACCTGCGCGAGCGATACTGGCCGTACAAGTACCTGATCGCGACGGTGCTCGCGGATAAAAATCCCATAGTGCGCACGGTAATCAACAAGCTGGACAATGTGGGCACGGAGAACGCATACCGCACATTCCAATACGAAGTGCTCCACGGTCCGGATGACATGAACGTGTCGGTACACGAGCAGGGCTGCACATTCAACTTCGACTTCTCAAAGGTGTACTGGAACACGCGGCTACACACCGAGCACGAGCGGCTCTGCTCCATCTTCAACGAGGGAGAAGCAATTTGCGACGTCATGGCGGGCGTAGGACCCTTCGCCATCCCCGCAGGAAAAAAGAAGTGCTTCGTCTACGCCAACGACCTGAACCCCGACAGCCACGCCTCGCTCGTCTCGAACATCAAAACGAACAAAGTAGGCGACTACGTCCGCCCGTTCAACACCGACGGCCACGACTTCATCCGCAGCGCGACCGCCGACCTGCTCAGAGCATCGCACTCCGTCCCGATATTCCCCAAGCCCAAGAAGATCTCTCGCAGCGATCCAAACTACGCGAAGCCCGAACCCATCAGGACCCTCATCCAGCCTCGCGTCTTCGCTCACTACGTCATGAATCTCCCCGCATCGGCGATAACCTTCCTCCCCTCCTTCATCGCCCTATATTCCAATATCCCGGATCTCCCCGCATCCGAGATCCGCACGCTCTTCGCGCCGCATACCGATGTGCAGATGCCGATGGTGCACGTGTACTGCTTCAGCACCAAGAGCGACGACAATGTCGCCGAGAGTAAGAGCATTTGTGAGGAGATCAGCAGGCAGCTAGGATGCGAGATCACGCCGGAGACGCCGGAGGTGCGGATATGGGATGTGCGGGATGTGGCACCCAAGAAGAGGATGTTTTGTGCGAGTTTTAGGCTGCCGGAGGAGGTGGCGTTTAGGGAGGTTTGAAGTATCTTTCGGAGCGAGGAACGGGAAATTCTGGGTGCAAGGGATGGGAGTCTCAGCTCTAAAAAGGTTAATCACAGATACCCAAGGAAATTTGGTGCTCACAGTCACTGTACTGCATTCATGTGATTGAGCAGTCAGAGAACTCTTCAGACTCCTTTCGAAGCATGTGTCTCTATCGTGCGCCTATTCGCCGCATACCAAAGCATTCCTCTTTCCACTCATCTGTTACCAGTTTCCACCCCAGCCGCCATCATCCTTCTTCCCCCAACCGTTATCATCCCCCTTCTTCCCCCACCCATCATCATCCTTCTCCCCCTCCGGCTTCCCCGTCTTCTCACTCTTCCCCTTCTCACTCGCCTCCCTCGAATGCTGTTTCACCCAGTCCTCCGTGCGAAACCTGCCCACGATCTCAGTGCCAGGACTCCTCACGCTCTTTTTCTCCTTCTGTGCCAGTTTCGTCTGGAGCTTCAGCAAGCTGTCGATGAGCTGGTCCTGCGGGAGCTGCTTGAGCTTTTCTTTATCGTCCGCGGAGGGAGAGGGAGAGGGTTCAGCGTCCGCAACGACGTCGGCGCCGAACATGCGCTTCAGCACGGGGCGGGAGCGGTATTTGAAGCGGAATACCGCGTACTGTGATTTATCAGCACCGATCTCAGACTAGCGCGCGGCTATAGGGAAGTATGGGTTGGGTACTCACGGGCTTGTCCAGACTATCTACGTACTCCGGCCGGCCTACGGTATGCCCGTACCGCATCCCCTTGCCAGCGCGTACCTGGTGCTGCACGCCTTTCTTCTGCGCTTCTTCTTTGCTGATCTTGTACAGCGGTTCTGCGGGCACGGCGTCGAGGTGTTCGGGGATGGGGTAGAGTTTCTTTTCTGAGGGCGGCGGGGGGAATTTCCAGTGTGGCTTTGGAGCGTTGGAGGGGAGGGCGGAGCGGAGCTGGCGATATTTGGAGAGGCGGGATTTGGAGGGCTTGGTGGATTTGGCTGGGGCGTCCCAGGGATTGGACTCGGATTTGGTGGTTGGGTTGAGGTTGGCCCAGCCATTGTCGTTGGCCCATGCATTCTTATCATCTTTCTTGTCGTTTGAGTTATGCCAGCCGTTGTTGGCGGATCCCCAACCGTTGCCATCAGCACGGCCGTCTTTCTTACCCCAAGAGTCTTCTGTGGTACCCCAGCTATTACCTGAATCTTCTACTTCTTTCGTCTCGTTGTTCGTGCCCCGACGGCGATTCTCGCTCGTACCATCCTCCTTGGGTCCCCAGGCGGTGTCTTGAGCGTGATCTGCGCCTCCCCAGTCTCCGCTCTCACCCCGACTGGATTGGCTCTGCTTGGTTTTCTCGCCGATACCGATGTCGCGCCATGCACTCGGGTCATTGTTCCAAAAGTCCGTCTGGTACGTTGCGTCATCGTTTCCCCAACCTACGACGGCTTCATCGTCCTTAGCTGTACCCCATGAGCTAGGCGGAGACCACGCACGGTTATTACCTTCTCCCTTTCCTGTTACCCTCTGAAACTCTTGCGGGGCGACGCTGAATGCTGGAGGCATGGCGATGACTGACGTACTACTACCGTGGCCCCGCGCTTCAGGCGGGACTGCGCATCCCCACGTCGGCGGTGGAGCGGTGCTTCTCGACCGCGAGACCCTCGTGCTCTCCTTCTGTGAGCGCGTTTGGTGAGACTTGATCGTCGGAGCGGGAGCCGGCGCTGTTGAGATGATTGCTGTGATGCTAGATTGAGGGCGTACGGTAGATTGGCCTTCGCTCCACGAGCTATCCGTATCTGACGGGGCGCTAAGGAAGGCCCAGCCCTCGTTGTCCAGGGTAGATCTAACTTCAGGAGCATCCCAGGCGCTGGAGACTTCGGTTCGTCCTCGTCTACGATTTGGTTGATCCCAGCCATTGTCTTTTGTTTCCCAAGTCTCGGCAGTGGTATCCCAGGAATCCCATGCACTCGCCTGCGGGGAGCTCCAGGCGTTCGAACCGGATATTTCAGTCAGCGCTGTGGTTCGTGCGGGCTGAGCCCAGCTGATGTGTGAGCCAACTGCAGTCGGGGCAGCATAACCTCCCCAAGTCGTCCCCTGGGGAGCCGATACATGGCTGTGGTGAGCGGTGTCGGTCGGTGGGCTCTTGACGACAGTTTCTTGCTTCAGAGATGGTGGCGACAAGGGTCCGAAAGGGGAGAGAGGCCACGCTCCAGGGGGATGATTGGACGCTACGGAGGTGGCTATGTTCCGTTCGCTGAGTATCTGCGAAGGTGCTCCTTTGCGTCGTGACTCTTCGACTCCGCGTTTAACCGCTTTCGTCAGCATCTCATCGAGCATCTGCGCATCGAGGGGCACATTCGGCGCGGTGGTTTTGCGAGGAGGGCCTTCCGATCCTTTGACCGACTCAACACTCTGCCGAGGGATCGGCCCAGTGCCATACTGATAACCCGGAGAAGGTATGCCAAGATGGCTTGCTAAGGCCGGGCTCACTCCTCCAGTTCCTCTCCATTGTGTCTGCGAATAGTTTCCTGCCGACCCTGCCGCCGACTGTTGCTGTACGGAAGGAGCGGGGCCTCGGGTGCCCACCACAGTGATGGGAGTGCCGTAACCCGCCGACGGATATCCGCGCCCTCGTATTTCCCGCCACTCCCGGTCATCGTAGACAGGTCCTCCGAAGTATCCGCTGCGTTCTCGGGGCTGCCCATCCAGGCCGAAGAGGTGGTCAGGAATGTCATTCGCTCCATCCAGATTCATGGCTTGCGGCTTGGCTTCGGCGGAAGCGGATTTCGCATTTCGTAGCCCAGCGCATCGTAGGACAATGACTTCAATGCAGCCAATATTTTCGAGTATGTTTTGGGAACAATTGTCCGGTGCGTCGTTGGCGGAGGCTACACAGAGTCAGCACACCATTACTAGAACTATGTCGATGCGGCCCTGACCGATATTGAGCTTCTCAAACCTCCAGTCGCGGGCAATCATAGACCCATCCTTCTGCTTCTCTTCCTTCTGGCGGACACAAAAGTCCACCAATGATCGGCGGTCTGGAGGCTTTTTCAACTTCAGGTCCTGGCGGTTGCGGTTGCATTGGTAGACACCATCGATGAAGACGTACATAGCCAAGCCGGGGGCGATGAAACTGCTCGAAGACAGCCGCACGGCGAACGGCTGCGGGTCGCTGGGTACGGCGACGAAGGTCTCCACTAACCCATCCCCGTAGTGCGTTCCAAACTCTTGCAATCTCTTCTGAGAACCCGAAAGCTCAATGAAGCAGTGGAGGTCCTTGAGCGAGGGCATGATGGGAAAATACCGCGGGGGTATGCACTCTCCAAAAATAGATGCCGAAGGCACGAAGCCGTCTCCCACGAGACCCAGTCTGGGACGCTTTGTGAGAGCCAAGTTATATCGAATAGACAAACTGCGGGTAGGTTGCCGGGGTGATGTGCGTCCGTGAGCGGTCTGGATTCTCGCCTGCGGGCCCGTACCTAGAAACTTAGATGTTTTCCCGAAGATTGTAGAAGAACAATGAATTGTCCATGCTCTAGCAGATGCCCGCCTAGTACAGCGAAGGGTAAGAATCGGGTGAGAAAAGTTGCTTTTATGTGCCATCGGTCGCACGTTGCCCCCCGCGCCGGGGTGGTTGAGGCGGATACGTCGCCATGCCTTCACATTCCGGAACCATGCCGATTAGCTTTACCACTGATCTTCAGCTTCAGAAGAAATCATCTTTGGTGGAAATAGGAGGTACAGATAACACTATGCGGGAACAAACGGGATATGCGAGCGGCAAACAGTACGAATCCCGCGTGGTGAAGCCAGGAGACCACTTCGGGAAAGGGTAGCCATCGCGAGACGATCGATAGAAAATAGGCAGTTCAGGTTATAGCGGGATGTTAGAGGCGGGAGGCAGAAGGCAGATAATTGAAGTTATTCGGCCCCAGCCGGGGCCCTGGGGAAAGATGACGCAGGAACCGCGCTAATCTCAGTTCGGATAGCGTACTTCAGGATCATCAACTTCAGATGGACCCTCGTTATTCCGCCATCCTTTCCCATGTTCATCGGCACGGTGACCAAACCGCGCGTAGCGAACGCAATAATAGCCCTCTTGAGTATCAGCGCTCCGCGACCCGTTTTCCCCTCATGACGCGCACGCATACTTCCAGCGGTGGTGAGAGAACGAGCAGCGTCAATGGGGATTCCGCTCTCCACTTCACCATGGAGCTTATTGGAGAAGAGATAGTATTGGCCCCAGCTCGTAGGCGTGTGACTTCGGGGACATGTTGCGCTCCGTGGGCTTAGGGCACGCACACACCACATTGCTTTGCAGCCTTAACCACTGCTTTCACCACGACTTTTCACCAAGCGCTCTCTTCTCCAAGTATGGGCAAGGTCTTTGCGCTCAACTTGTTTGCGTTATCTCTCCCACCACCAACCAGACATCTGCGCTCTCCAAGTTCGATCACCTGCCGCGTGCTCGCATCGGTGCAGCCTCGACCCCAAGCTCCGCTCTACCTGACGCAATGGTACATTCAATTCCGCCGTACGTAGTCTCCTACTGGATACTTACTCGCCTTGTGTTCTAGCGCACGCTTTACACGACGTGTTCACCTACTAACTCTGGAAAGGTTGTTTGACTGGCCCGAACTTGGCCCCGGGCCGGAAGGACAAACGTTCGATTACGTGAAGGAGTGCGTATGACTTCTACGCGCCCCACTCACACCGCGCTAACCACAGTGTAGACACCACGTATATCCAGCCTGCAAGAAATACCCACAAGCTGGCGAAGACCACCGCGTCCAAACGACCAAGGACTTCAATGACATCGAGAAGCGGGTCGGCGCCATTGTCAACTTCGTCGACTACAATGCTGGAAGCATCATCTCCAAGATTGCGAAAGACCTCTCTTCTCCAGCCGCGCTCTATGAACTGCGTCTCTTGCCTAGATTGTACGAGTAGCTGGATATCTTCCTATTTGGATTTTGCGGTTTCATATGTGTAGCGACGACTAATACGAACTCTACAGCGACTACTACGCGGCCTGTTATGGCTATGACGTCAACAAAGAGTGCTTCGACATGATACGCGGGAAGATCAAACGCTACCAGCGCCAGTATGCGCATGAGCTGGCTTTGAGCGGCGAGGTGGATGCCGTCGTCATCTGGCACTGCCCGAAGGTCCCGATAGTTCCAATCTTGGTCCCGCTAGAGGAGCGCCCCATCTTGGAGGAAGCCGTAAGTACCTTTCCACTGTCACTGTTCAAAGTTTAACCGGATTGCAGCACGCCAGCCACTACAAGTACATGGACTGGGACCTCATGCACGCCGACGAGAAAGAGGAAGGCGATGACACAGTTAAGGTGCAGCCCGGAGAGGTGCGCAAGCCGAAGAGGAGGGACAAGAGTATCCCTCTTCCGCAACCGGAACGCCTAGGTGGCTTCTATGCCCGCGTGTCCCTTGAGCTTTTCGGGAAACTCCGAAATCTTTCGCCTCGCTGGGGTATCACTGTCAAGATTGTTGTCGCCCCAAATTTCATGACACAGGAGGAAGAGAAAGAAATGGAGGAGTACCACGCAGCACGGCGTGAGGTCGAGATGGAAATCGACGTCCGCGAGGCTGCCAATAGAGAGAAAGAGGAAATGGAAGCTCGAATCATCGCAGAGAAAGAGCATAAAGAGCGCAGAATGGCGACGTATGCGCGCGCAATCGACCCCGAGGCTGGTGTCGAGCGGTACCGGAAGGTGAACGTCCACATTACGCAAGGTGCTTTGTGGAACAGCTACGACCAGCCTAGCACTCTAAATGACGAGGTTGCTCCGCTACCGTGTACATGCCTACATAGGGCCGCTGGGATTTAGTCTTGGGCTTTGAGGGGCTGGACGCACTGCTTTAGCAGACTACGGAATGGTTTTTGGGTCAAGTGCATAGCCTATGGAAGGGCTTGCAGATCGTATACCCAAGGGTAGCTTAACGGAGTCCTTGAGACTTAACTTACATAGCAACGGATTGTCCGTCATGCAATAGGGTTCAGGAAGGGACTCATTCAACACGAATTATCATGTCTTTCAACATCGTGACGGCATCTCATCATCCACACCAAGTCGCTCACCCCGAGGGCCGCGTTTCTAAGTTCTAACTAAGTACCTGTACGCGTAGACCTGCAAACTCCAGCACGTAACAGTGGAGGACACAGTCACGTGCTGCAATGCTGACTAACTGAAAATGGCGAAAAGATCGCCGAACTCCACTCACTTATCCACGACCTGATCCCTCCGTGCAGCAACGCGCTGATCTCGCAAATGTTTTTGGAACTGCACCGTCATTTTCAGAACGCTCCGGATATCTTCCAGCTTCACCTTCCCGCTCGGATTTTCTTCAGATTTCGCCATCGCTCGCGCGGAAGAAATGACGTTGCGGATCTGCCGTCCATCAATGTCCTCATCGAACTCCTCCTTGATCCACTCTTCGACGCGTTTGACATCGAGGATCTCGTTAGAGTGCTGCTTCACAAATTTTAGGAAGAGCTCGCGCAACTGCTCGGTCGACAGCTCTTTGTAGCGAATTGCAAGATGCACACGCGATTGTACGGCGATGTCGAAGGACTTGATGCGATTCGTCGTTAGGATCAGAATGCCGTCGTAATATTCGAGAATTCGGAGAAAGACAGTAACGAGCGAGTTGCGGTTGAGGTCGCCCTTGTCAGTGCCGCGGGATTCGAGGAAGACGTCCGCTTCGTCGCTGGACAATAATTAGAGAGGTAAGTGTAGTCTTCTGAATAACTTACAATAGGAGCACGGCTTCCCAACGAGCCGCTAGATTAAAAATCTGGGCCAGCTTGCCTTCGACTTCATCAGGCTTCATGCCGATGTCGCTCACGCTTACGGTAAACAAGGGCTTGCCCGTGGCTTGAGCTACGCTCTCAGCAGTCGAGGTCTTTCCAACGCCAGGAGGTCCATGGAGCAAGATGACCAATCCCCTTCCTTTACCCTCGATCCAGTCTTCCCTCACGACACCATCCTCACCCTCAGCCGACGCTTTCTTCTTTTCGTGGTTGCCGACCAGGCTCTTGATCAGATTCTTTGCCTGCTTCTCCAAAATCAAGTTGGCAAAAGCATCTACCTTGATTTTCTGCTTGATCTCGTGGACGTTGACCACGGGCATTTGGGCCCATGCTTTGGTGCCCATAACGTACCCTAGGAACCGGGCCGGGCAGATGATGTACTGGTCGTCTTCGAACTCCTGGTTCGACTTCACGCCGTCGTAGTCAAACTTCATCATGTTCTTCAGCGATCGAGACTTCATGCAGTCGGAGCAAGTACATTCGTAACGATCGTCTGAAAGCTCGAAGACGCCCATGGCTCCGCACCCCGCGTCACCACATTGGAGGAACGACTTGTGGTCGACAATGACGGAGCCTTTGACTTTTGACCAGCCTCCCCCGCCTCCCCCGTCGGTGCTTTCGCTCCCAATCGTACTAGCGGCATCGGATTGGTAGGTGCTTGACGCTGCCATATCATTGAATGCACCTTGCTTACTGATGACAGGTCCGTCGCAGTAGAAAAGCTGCGAGCCTTTCGGCATTATGCAATACTTCCGGAACTTCTCTCCTCTTGCCTTCAGCATTGCTCTCAGCTCTGTCTCGTCAGGGTTGCCTTTGCGATCGACGTGGTGCTTGATGGGATAGAACTTCAACGTGTTGATGGCTTTCGCCCCGGCATACCTCTCGATCTTCAGACTTCCAGACACCCGGTTGAAACTTTCGCCGTTCCAGTCGTACGCCCAGCAAACTAGCTGGAAAAAGTCCTTCGTCGTTCCGTTTCCTGCAGACAGCGACATGTATTCGTATTCACGCGCAATGAACGCCTGCGGATGGTCGAAAATTACCTGCGAACACACCATCTCGCCCGGTGGGAACAGCGTCCAGAGATAGTCGTAAGAGATCTCCTTGTTTTCAGTCCATTGATCACGCCTCTCGAAATAGCTCTGCAGCTCAGAACTGGACTTGACCTGGTCCAGCAATAGTTCCAAGTCCTTCCGCGCCTGCTTCTTTGTCTCATCTTCGTCCTCGAGTTCGTCGTGCGCAGCTTTCTGAAGATTATCCCAGTCCCAAACCAAGCCATCGAAATTGGGCGCGAAGGTCTTGAAGTTGGAGGAAGACGACGCTCGACATGTATCTCGGATGAGTGCTTCTAGCTCAGGAGAGTTGATTGTGGCTTTCGTGGTGTCATACTTTCTATCCTCGTCAAACTTACGCAACCAGGTGAATGCATAGGGCAGGCTGGGCTCGGGCGCCTTGTTCTTTGGCGGTAGCTTCGATGGGACCTCTTCAAATGTCCCAGTCTTTTCATCCCAGCGGGAGTCGAGCAACCGAATCCGGGGGTTTTCGTCGGTTTCATCCGCATCCTCTCCTTTCTTTTCGCCAACCGTAGTCTCGTCCCCTTTAGTCTTTTCCTTTTCCCGCTCTTCTTCCTTCTTCTCGATACCGTTGACCACTGACGTTCTGTTCTCGTCGCCTAGGATTGAATTGCGCCTAGCATCGATCGGCGATTTCAGCTTCGTGACTTCTTCATCGGGGATTTTCTCCTTCGTGGCGAGGTCCTTCTCGAGCTGTTCAATCTTTTGTTCGAGCAGGCGAATGTACTTCTGCTCCAAGGAAACGGTATCGCCGTTCTCCGTTCCCTACCGTCAGGCGTCAGACGAGTATTAGGACGACTTCCTAACCGGGACTCACAAACAAGGACCCAGGCATTGCAAAGGTATGCGCGAAGCTTTTGATGTGCGAAGGAAAGTTGGGCGAGGGCTGAACATGCGGCAATCTGGGGATATATGGAAAGCGTGCTAGCCTTGCTCAACCTACAGCCAAGCCTTCTACTTTCAGCTCGATTTTCCAGGGTGCACTGGCATTCCGAAACAGGGAGATAAGCGCTGCGGACCCTGCAGGCCTTTTGGATGGAGCGACTGGTCGAGGTCCATTTCCGCCCCCAACCCTTCAGCTCCTTCAGCCTTGTTACCGACGCTCGGGCACCCCTCCCATCCATATGCGGTTCACCGCTTCTGTTCTACCAGACACAGCAACTAATAAAAACCCTTGTGATACTTACAGGAACTTTCAGGTCCGCCAGGCTCGTTACTCTTCAAACTTGAGTTCGGCGAAAAACTTCGGGGACAAGGTAGGCATCGCGCAGCAGAGTCTGATGTTCGGGGTTTATCAAAATTAAATCATAGCTAGGGTTAGGATCGCTCCGTGGTCGCAAGCTCGAGGGTGACCGGTTGTGGCGAAGTGCATAACACTGCATGGGGTTCTTGCATGAGCTGACAAACTGCTAGCCGAAGCTTAAGAGAGCGGATTGTAACCAACCCTGGTCAAGTCTCATTACGAAGCTTCGGCTGTGCTCCATGGGGCCCGGACTTCTTCAGCATTTTGTTCCCACCTTTAGCCTCTCTACACACCGGACGAGTTCAGCCAATTCGACGCGAAGATCATTAGTAGCAATGGCAACTGACCCGGATACGCCACAGCCACTGAAGAGACGGGACACGTTTTTCAATGGGTCAAATGAGTGAGCCCGCTGCACGTTGTCGTGCAAGTCCGCATCGTTCTAACCCCGCTTGCGCAGTCCTGCCTTGCAGCCTGCTCACGAAGCCACTTCATCCCAGCGCAAGTTCTGGAAGAGCATCAGGAAGGACCTAAAGAAAGACGATATAAAACGAGTCGATGCCGTCGTACAGAGCTACGAGAATGATCATACGATAGCAGGGCTGGAGAGCCTCCTGGCCGAATATCTTCCAGCTGCGGAAGATGAGAAGAATAAGCTGTACGACAGGCGAGAGAAGGGAGGAAAGCAGGTGTCGACCCACGTGCAGAAATTTGCAAAGACATTTGCGGATTTCCTAGGGTGTTATTCGCAAGTGTTGGAGCTTGTGAAAACGGCGGATAATCAGTTTGGAGGGGTAGCAGTACAGACGTTGTCGCTTCTGTTAGTGGTGAGTGCGCTCTTGCAGTCCACATGGGCAAAGCTAAGGACGCGATCTACAGGTTGCTGTGAACAAGTCGGGCAAGGAAGAGCTCATCGAAAACTCTTTGCTCAAGATCAAACACAACTTTCCTCGATTGAGGGGGCTCCGGAACATCTATCCGACGCCGAAAATGCAGGAGCTTGTCGCGCAAGTGTATGAGGATGTGCTCGTATTTGCGCAAAGGGCGATTGAATATTACAAACGGTCAGCATGGGGTGCGTATCCACGTCAAGCCTTATTGCACGTAATAGCTTTACTAACTGAGTTGCACACAGCCAGAGTGTGGAAAGCGATATCTGAGCCTCCACAGCTCAGCGTGCAGATTGCGGTTGACAAGATTCTCGATGAGCTTGCGGAAGTCAAGGATGAAACTAACTTTCTGTTGAACGGAAGAGTCCACAAACTAGAGCATGATGTAGAGCAAGTGAAGACGATGCTAGAAGATCAAAAGCACGTTCTGGAAGACCAGCACGAGGAAGACCAGCAGAGAATCTCGAACATGCAGAAGGAGCTACGAAGCGTGCAAAGCGGTACGTTGCCGATACTGTCACCTTTCTCGTAAAGCCTGCGCTAACTCTCAGAAGGCGTCGGGCAGATTAAACGCAATCATAGTGAAGAGCTCCTTTCCACGCTTCAAGAAGGCCTACTCCCCGATCAGTTCTTGTGCACGGAACAGCTGGAAGATTATCGCGGACAATTACAAGCTCGCTTTGGACGAAAGGCATCTACAAAATTTGGACTCGCCCAAATCATGAATCAGGACGCATATCAAAGGTGGCAGCAGAGCAAGACGTTCCAGACCCTCGTCCTCCGCGGCCGGACCAGAGTGAGCAATACCGCCCTATCCTGGCTCAGCCAAGCAGCCGTCGAACTCGTCGATAAGCTCAAGCACGACTTTGCCCAAGACAAGACGACGGCCGTCATTTACCATTTCTGCAAGCGGGAAGGCATGACCGAAGACGACCACATGCATACGACACTTTCTCGCCTCGTCTACCAACTCCTGCAGGCTCGGCCTAGCGTGCTAGATGAGCGCTCGACGTACGCTTCGTATACGTCGCAGCTCGAGAGCGCGTCCTGGCAGAAGCGGCAGTTGAAAACTGCATGTAAGCTGCTCGTTGACGCCATGAGTGCTTTCGAAACCGTGTACGTGGTCATCGACCGGCCCGAGACGTGCAAGGGTGGCAAGGGTGGGCTGGCGAAGATCCTCGAGGCGCTTCAGCAGGCGGAAGGGGTGCTGGTCAAGGTTTTTGTGGTTGCGGATGGGGATGAGGCCGATGATGCTGACTTGAATGACTGGAGGGATGCCGCTGGCGAGGGCGCATTTGAGGTCCTTGACGGGTTGGATCAGAGATAGCTGTTCTTTCTCCGCGACACAACTAGCCTCTTCAAATGACGTACTTGGCCTTCCGAAAGGCGCAGGTTTGGCTACGGAGGTAACCAGGTATGGACCCCCTTAGGCCAAAGTTTTCAGGGCGCATAACTACAATGTGTTTGATACAGCTCTACTACATTCTCGCGCCCCTTTCGAAACTGAAAAGTCCTCTCCCTTTTCGTTCAGTATCCTGCCTCACCCACCCTGCCTTCCCAACTATCTCTCCAGCGCCGCTGGCCATCTGGCGTAACGTGTTTTCATCGCCGTGATTAGCGAGGAATCTCTTTCCATCGCTCTTTAGGCGTCCGATGATATAGGCTCTCAGCGGTGAGCCATCGCGGTTGAACTCGACGGTGTACGTCTAGGCATAATTAGCACTCGTTCTCCCATATTCAATACTAGCTACGGCAATAATCGGCGCAAAGAAAAAAAACGAAAAGATAGACATACCTCAACGACGCCCTCCCCTTCGGCCGTCACCGCAATCTCCGGCACGCCCTCCTCCCCAACCCTCTCCGGCAGCGGATCCCCCTCTGGATACGCAGGACCATTCTTCCTCGGTTCCTTGCCCAACATGACAACATACTGATAGCTTAACAAGCCCCCATTACACAGCACCAACCCCTTCCTCCCCTTTCCCTCACGAATCGCCCGCACCATCGCCGTCAGCGCATGCATACTGTAATTATTCCCTGCCCCGCCGAAACTAGTCAGCCCGCCTAGCTGAGTAAGCGGTTTCTGGCCATTAGTGATGGGGAGGCCGAGATGGTGCGCGGCCAGCTTGGGCACGATAGGGAAGCAGGAGTAGATGTCGATGAGGTCAATGTCTTCTTTCGTTGTGTGGGAAAGGGAAAGAGCGGCGTCGATGGAGTGCGATATGCTGGGTGAGGTGTAGAAATTGGGGCGCTGCCAGAAGTCGTCGGCGTCTTTAGTTCCGGCGCCGCCGAGCGGGTAGATCCAGCGTGATGAGGGGATGCCGAGAGCGCGGGCGGTAGTGGTTGAGGTTAGAATACAAGCGGCGGCTAGGTTGACAGTGTTGAAGGCGTTCATCAGGAGGGGATCTATATCAACCAATTAGTAAGCGGGCATGAATAGGGGGCAAAGGACACTGACAAGGAAAGCATATCATCCGATTCCTCTTCCCCACCGTCCCAATCGTTTCCTCACTGTCTTCCTTTCCAAACCCCCACGCATACTCATTCTTTGCCGCCACGCTCGAGAACTCTGCATACAGCCTTGCGCTCTCCTCATGGTTCGCTTTCAAGCTCTGGCCTCTATGTGCGCGAAAAGCGTTCTCGTACAGGGGATAGACGTGTATCGGGGCGCCGATGTCGTGGATAGCGCCGAGATCTGTGGCTGCGTGAGTGGAGGACAGGGCTTGCCAGAGGAGGGAGATGCTACTTGATCCGAGGTCGCGGCCAGTGGGCGTGAAGACGGAGTCTACGGCTTGGGAAGGAGGGGTCCAACCGGGCGGTGGGAGCTTCTTTGCAGCGGCACAGGCGGATACTGTGAGGTATTAGCGACCGTGCTCAGACTGAATGATTATTTTCCCAGCGAAGATTCCGAGATGGTCCTCGTGGGAAGACGCGCTCACGTGACGCCAACGCCTCTCCACCCGTAATAACCGCCACTCTGCACTCTCCCCTCGCTATCCGTCTCGCCGCCTCATCGAACAACTTCCCCGGCTGATTCCCTCCATGCTCGGAATAAACCTTGTGCTTAGGCTTTACATTGAGCTTCTCCGCCAACAACCCCGGTAAATCCGGATATGGCCAGGTCCACGTCTTAACCACATCGATGCTATCAATCGCCGCTTGCAGTTTTGAAGGCTCTGAGGAAGAAGCGTTTTGTATCGCTGCTTGTATTGCTTCAAGCATTAATTGCGCGGGCTCCTTCGCGTCGGCAAGCGCCGTGGACCGGTTCTTGATGTCGCCGACGCCGATTACGATGGGGGTTTCTGGGTGGGCCATGACGATTGGATTGTAAGAGAACGAGATTAAGACGGGGAAAATGCGCCTGGAAATGCAAAAAGAAATGCAGGAAAGGAGAGATGCTACATAATGAAGGAGGTGTAATCGATTTCCGAGAGTCGTGATTGGGAGTGAGGAGCTGGTTGGCTTTGCCGAGGTACGAGCTGAAAGACCACGAGCCCTCGGTGTTCACAGCCTGATAGAAGACGCGCTCGTAGATAGGGTAAGGTAAAAAAGGCGGGGTATTCAGACTTCTGATCATTTGCTTTTTTCCGTTCTCATACTGCGTAGGGATAGATGTGTGGAAGAGTTCTGATTAGGTAAAATGTGGCGGTGCAGGTGGCTGTTGCCAGGCATATATAGCCGAGTCGGGCTGCTGCCTCATCCGCACCTCCTCCTCTGACAGGAACTCTGTTTAAGATCCGGGTACGTTGGACGGGGCTCACGCGGCAAAATTGATTATGCTCGAGCAGTCACCCAACAGCAGTAATCCGCCGGCGCGCTGTTTAGGTACAGTGTTAACCGCCCCTAGCTCCTCTGGCAAAGCCATCGAAATCAGACTCAATGCCATCAAGCTTCGAGTCTCAGCCTTGCTCCGTGGAGATACTTCAATTCTTCAGCTGAAGGCATATTTCGCGTTTGTGTGCTGTTCCTGGCGCTTCAAAACAGCCACATGCCCTTTTTAGGGGTGTGTGGCTTCAGCCGCACGCCTCGTGCAACACGTCCGGGGAAGCCAATATTTGGACTGGACAGTATTTGAATGCCAGCCTTCCCCAGGGCAAGTGGGCAAAAATTCCAACTCTGAAGCGTTCTTGTCCCGTGCACATGCCTCCTTCTATCCAATGGCTAATCAGGAAGGGAAATGTAATTTCGAGGGTAACGATGACATGTATGGGATGGGTAAGTCCTCGCCAGTCGCTCGCTGTTACAAATAGTGATCTAAATCTCCTCAGGCATTCGCATAGGGTACTATCTCCAATGGTACGGAGCCATCCTCGCAGCCTGGATCGCACCCGACGAGTCGCAAGGCCTCCGCATCGCCAACTCCCTCTTCGTAACCGCAACCTTCCTCGCTCTTGTAATTCTGACTGTTCGGAACCACAAGCCGGAAGATTTACCAATAGTGGAGACATACATCATCCTTTTCCTCGCCTTTGGATCCTACCTCGTGCTCGTCCCCGTCTACATCTGGCGCATCTTCACAGGGTGCAATCCGCTGTGGGATCCGACGCGGTTTCCGAGAGCAAATCCCGGGAGGGTGTACAGCGTGTGCAATACGCTGCTACTCGTGACGGTCTTGGTATTTCAGTTGTGGTTCTGGGTGCATCAAGTGCCGAAGTTAGATGGAGAGGAATGCACGCAGTATGGATTCTTCTTCTGGAAGTTCGATCTGAACTCGAAGTCCTTCATGGCATTGAACATCATACCGTCAATCATCCTACTTGGGATATGCATGACGACGGTTGGGACGATTGGATGGAAGATCTTGGTAAGAGGAAGAAACTGGCGGGACAGTAGGAAAAAGTATCTACCGCTGGATAGTGTTCCGTAAGTAACACCCGCTACCCTGAAGCGCTGAACCCATACTAATCGCAAGTATAACAGTCGGAGGCGGATATACGTTCTCCAAGTCCTCGATTCGGCATCTCAGACTATCGTCACGACCGTCATCATCATCGGCGTGGAGCTCACTATCATATGGAACGAGATTGAGGGGGTACATGACATATCTTCCGCGGGGCAAACGATTCCGCTCTTCTTGGGCATTGGAGCCGTCGCGATGGTGTTCTACGTGCGCTTCTTCAAGAAGGATGCAGAAGAAGTATTAACGGACGACGCGGCGACCAAACCGAGCCTTCCGCAATCCAGCTCGGCTCAACGCTGGGAAATGGGAAGTGCTCAAGCTTATTTTAACCAAGGGACGACTCAGACAAACACACCGCCGGTTCACGCAACAGCGTGGAATGATCTGCCCGGTGCCGCCAGAGCAGCGGCTGAAGGTGGTAAGGCCTGGTGGGGAGGGGCTCATGGCCATCAGGCTTGATGACCGCCTAGGCATGCACGTACAGGACATTACGCGACGGCAGGGTTGAGGTGCGAGCTAGAGGAGCCCGCACACGTGCAGCCTGATGTAGAACATGTCGATCGAAGTATGAAAAAAAGAACTAAAGTACTCAGCTTTGCATTCCATGAATCTCTTCTTCTGAGGCTGGTTGATTAGTCACAAGCGAACTGGAGGTGCATGCCAATAACGCGCTGTATACGTAAGCAGGCTGAATCACCAGGCAGCGACATCAGCCTCGTGTGAAGGACGCGAACACGGCAACATTCTTCTTCCACCTCCTCTCCACATCTTCCAGTTGCTTTCAGGCACTCGAAAAAGTCGTTGCAAGTACTGCAGAGATTCTAGTCGAAAGAACGGCCAGCCCGAAGCCCTCAAGTGATGTATCCAACAGCAAACGCAATCTGTTGATCAAGCTGACTGCCATCAACTTCTGATCATTCTTCATCGCCCTCAGGCTTTTACTTCTACTACACCCTTCACTTTGATTACCGAGGTCCTTCTAGACACAGAGACTCGAGACCGGGTGTTCAGCCCGGTGGTAGCGAACTTCGTCTGTCGAGCTACCCACGCATCATGGCTACGGAGGACAACAGCCATGGCATTTACAAACCCCTCGGCAACCCGGAAAAGGAGATCAGACTCCTCTCGCTTCTTCCAGCCGATAGCGAGGACGCCACCGAAGACTCAACACTCAAAGGCACACTGTGTCACCGCTTCCTGGACGATGACCCGCCATACACCGCCTTGTCGTACGTCTGGGGTAACCCGAACGACACGCGTACGATGATCGTCGATGGCCATGAAGTCCAGATCACTACGAACCTCGCAGACGCGCTCTATCAGCTCCGACGACACCGCTTCAGAACGATTTGGGCGGATGCGCTTTGCATCAATCAGCGCAATGAGAAAGAAAAAGGTCACCAAGTCCAGAAGATGGGTACTATATTCAAGAAGGCGACGGAGGTCTTTGCATGGGTGGGGACTGGTGATGATGAGAGCATTCGGGCGACGGAACAGATCGATGCGCTTGCGACAATAGCCAAGGAATTTGGGTTGCGCTACTTGTGGAATGCGCAGCATATGGAGCTTGAGAAGATGCGGAACAACCACGGATATAGAGCACTACAGCACTTGTGTGACCCCCTAGTGCAAGACAGCACGCTCTCAGACCTAGATTTGAACCCCATGTTGCGGTTCTTCGATAGAAAATTTTGGCGACGGCTGTGGATTCTCCAAGAAGTAGCTCTCGCTACTACGGCACGAGTGGCATGCGGACCTTGGACCATCTCCTGGCCGGATCTTTGCGCTTCAGCAACATTCCTCTTCTGGTTTTCGGATGCAAGTCGGTACAACACGAAACTACGAAACCGTCTGAGATCCAAGCAACTTTCGCCTCTGGGTTATGGGCTCTGGATACCGCCTCCGTCTGTGCTTCTAAGTTCTTTCCTCTCGTCTGGAAGGACTCTCGATCCATTGAACTTGTTTGATTTCACTTGCAACGAGACAAGGCTCCAGTCGACTGACCCCAAAGATCGAGTGTTTGCTTTGCTTGGATTCTGGGACGACCACAATTGGGCTAGACACAATTGGGCTGATAAAAATTGGGCTAAACGGGAAGAAGATGCTATCACCGTTGATTACACTGCCTCGTGTAGTAGGGTATATACGGAAATAACATGCGCCGCTTTGCAATACAACAACACTTGGGCTTTGGAATTTGCTGGGCTGGCAAGCCGGAGCGGTGTGGTTCCGGAGCTTCCAAGCTGGGTATTAGATTGGACCCATACGGGGGGAAAGTTCTGGCTATCATTTAGGGGATTTAGTGCTTGCGGATCACAGTCTCCCAGGCTCTTGCGAGGAGTCGACAGACAGACGGCGATCGATACTGGCGTCATAATCCTGGGCGGATCCCTAGTGGACACTGTAGTAGCAATAGTGCCATTTTCAGGCCAGCCCGAGGATATTCAGTCCACGTTTAACAATCTTGAAGACAAGCTTTCCCAGAGCGTAGCTGAGAACAAATGCAAGCGCAGCCAGAGCGATGTGCAAGACGCGGTCTGGAGGACCATGGTGCTAGACGTCAACGACACTCGGCGGCGAAGAGTCAACGGCGAGGACCGGAAGCTATTTGAGATGTGGTACGAAAGGCAAAAATTATCCATTCCACGAGATCCGCAGTATGAATCGGCGAACGCCTTCTTCGATAAATGGTTCGATCCCTTGAGAAGCAGCCGGACTACGAACACCGGGGCAGTGGAATTTGAGAATCTCGTTTATTGGAGGCCAGGGAAATTCGTCTTGTCGAGCCAGGGGTACATAGGCCGGGCATTTGAGGAGGCACAAGTTGGCGACCAGATATGTATATTCAAGTGCGCAACAGTCCCTTTTCTCATACGGCCGGGGGCGGATGGAGCCTTTCATCTTATCAGTGCTGTTTATGTCCATGGGATTATGGACGGGGAATTCATGGGGAAGAAGCCGCCCACTGTGGAGATCAAGTTGTATTAAGCTTGAGGCAAGCTTGGACTTGGAGCAGTCATCGCACGATTGCGGCGTATATGCATATGCTCACGCCGCACTCTCCGCTCGCCATCTCCCAACCTGCTGCGCCAGCATCTCAGCGACACGCTCTGGCCCCACTTCCGAGATCGGGTCTGCATTATTCACTGCGATATGCAGGTATAGGGTCCGAGCCTTAACGACCTCGAGCTGCGATGCCGCGAATTTCCGAGAAAGTTTTCTTGAGTCACGACCACGGCGGTTGCATTCGGAAATGGGTGAAAGAGAGGAAGCATTACGTCACTAGCCGCATCAATAAAAGCTTGACGAAGGCTCTCGCTCAAAAGCCCGTCGGCCTCATTCCTCGAAAGTTTCAACCCCACTCGCTCCCAGCAAAACGCAACTGAGGTCACTCAGTACTCGACTCGAATCGGGAGTCCTCAAGTAAACATCTCGAAACCGAACTACTATGTCCCTTACAAAGCTTCCAAATGAGATCTACGACGAGATCTTTGCTTATCTCGAGCACATGGCCGACATCTTCAGCATTTGCGCGACGCACTCCACCTTCAAAGCCTCGGCACAGCGGCGTCTATTCAAGTCTGTACAACTGCCCGTGGAGCGGTATGTCGAATTGAGAAAATGCAAGCTCTTCTTACGGACCATCAAGGCGAGTCCAGAGCTAGCAGTCTTTGTTCGATGTGTTCAGCTGGATATTTCAGAGCAAAGGATAGACGAACAACACCTCATTCCAGATATTCTGGGAAAGCTGCCGCAACTGGAGGAGATTTGTTTCACCTTCCCTGAGGGTCCAGGCAACTCTGTACTGTATCAAGCACAGATCCAGGGATTATACAATGGGTAAGCATTCCACCTAGCGATGATGCTCTCGCTTTGAAGGGACATGCATGCTAATTCATCGTCAAGGGTCAAGAATACGTGCGCTCCGAAGGTTGTCATACGAAGTTCCTGTCCCATCGTCGTCTCGAAGTTGATGCAGATTCCGTCTGCTAAAGAGATCGTGATCAGGCCTGAGTGTGTCATGAATCCGCCATCGTACCACGCTCGGCATCCAGCATATTCCTGGGAAGAACCCGTAATTCTACCGAACCTCTGCGGCATCGATCTGAGCAGCTTCCGCGTCAACCCGCTCGAAATCTCCAAGATCTGCATGCATGCCATCAATCTTAGGCGATTCAACGCCACGGTTCCGAGATCGGTTCTCCCAAACGCCATTGTAGATGCCCTAACCCCGGTCTGCGGGACCCTTCAGTCACTCGAGCTACAACATCCCTCACGGTGCAGCATCTCGGCGCCAACCCATCGGACCCAGGCGGACTTCTCCACCTTTTCAGCGCTCAAATCCTTACGCGTCCCATCGACGATGTGGTTTCCAACGGTCCAGTGTGGCTTCAACCAGCGCGAGGACACAGGGTTTGCATGGAAGCATGGGAACCGCCCCGACATCTCAGCACTCCTTCCTCCAAGCCTTGAGACTCTCGACATCCGGTTTGCATGGCCCACGGGGATCTTCGCTATGGGAGGGAACTATCAGCGCCAGTTCCTAGCCCTGCCGGACGCACTTCAAGCCAAAGGGTTCCACTGGATCATGGAGCTCACGGCGTCCGCCGGTTGCAGACACGTTCGACTGATCGAAGAGGATTCCCACGCCGATTGCGATAATGGCGGGGCTACGCCGTTCTGGGGGCATCCTCGCCGCCAGCCGCTAGCTCAGAGGGCGTTCCTTGCCCCGAGAGCCGTGAAGGACGTGTTTGATGCGGCTGGCGTGACGTTGGACATTAAAGTGTACGAGCGGGAGGAGTGGAAGCGAAAGAGGACTGACTAGGTCCCAGCGGGTGAGGATATATAAGAAGGTTGACTGTCTTCGTTCATGAGCGGAGGCCCTCCTTTCCGGGAATAGCGTTGATTTGAGAAAGCGTCGCGAAGGAGCCTGTCTGTCCAAAGAGGACGCTCAGTGCCTTTCCATCCAACGACGCTTCCGTCAATTTTACTCAGGTGAAGGGGCGAAGTACACCGAGCTTTGTGGATTGATATGGTGTAGCACAAGCTTACACAGTTGGTGTCTCGGCGGGAGTTCATTCAAGTGCTGGGCTTTTTAGGGTTGCGCCTCTCGCATCTCTCATCAAACTAATACACACTTCTTGTCCCAACACTTCATTTCGTCGCCCTTGTCTTCCACTGAACACGCAAATAAATAAATCTTAATACCTTTTTAAAAGCGTCGGTCGTGCGTGCGTCCGACTCCATCCATGCCTTTCCTTTTCCCGTGACTCTTCTTCTCCGATCGAAGGACTCCCCCAGGCCGAGCAAAGCAATCCATGAATATTCCAAATATTCATGTATGTGGGTTTTAGTCCACACACCGCACCAACCACTCTATGCATAAGCCCCAGGTGGGTTTCCTAGTGAACGCGAAGTCCTGACGGCGATGTGTGAAGAAGATAAGATAAAAGGAAGGGAAGAATTAGGGAGGTGGCGGATATATATTCGTAACCACTTCGCCGGCATCAGGGAGACGAAACGAAACGGCATGTGCCCCGACTAACAACCTCTCGAAGATGAAAGGGACAGACAGCAGAAGAAGCGATGAAAGAAAGCAACAGAAAACGTACAGAAAAGCGGTATCGACAATCCATTTTCATCTACCGTAGCTTAGCCTACCATATCGGGCATATATGCATTCGCCCCATGTCCTGCTAAATTGTACACCCACCTTTGTCCCTCCTCGCCCCTATCCTTATCCCATGCCCCCACACCACCTTCTCCCTCGTCCACCGCTAAAAATTCATAATCTACCCATTCCCGAGCCTAAGTCTGAAATAGAACCCTGCGCCAAACACCTTACGAATCCCAAGACGGGCCGACCCTCGAATAAAATGCAGAGATAGAATAAGATGTCTTCGATTGATCATTGCGAATGCATCTTCTTGATCTTATTCGCGCCCTCGTAGAGCGCGCGATCCACGGCCGCAGCCACGGTAAGCGTGCCGCCGATAACGGCGCAGATGCCGACCAGGAAGCTGGAGAAGGACTTTGCGCGGACTTCGCGGTTGATGACTTTCATGGGGGAGATGTCCTGGTCTCTGATTAGCAACTGCGTTATCAAACTCGGGTAGGGGGAAAGGGGCAACGTACGTAAGAGAAGAAAACCCCCGGAATACCTCCCCGCGCGTGTATTCTCTCCTTATGCCCCGCCTCCTCATCGTTTCCGCCAGTAAGACTCCGCTTATGCGAAGTAACAGAGTACTGATGCGTCTCAATGCTACCTTTGTAGCTTCCGTCGATCGTCGCCCCGAGCAGCTCGTCGTGCTTCATCGGTCTCGGGGCCGTCTTCTCCCATCCAAGGGGCAAGTACGCCGTGCTCACTACCTTGATAAAATACATGAAGTTGTATGCCTTCTCGCTCGTCTGCTGCTCGGTGTTATCCAGCGGGTTGATATGATGGTTTGTCCAGCCGCCCGGTCCCGTATTCGCATGCTTCCGCTGCATATCTTGGATCACCGCGTCACTGAGCTGCGGGCCGAACCGCAGATGATGGATCTTATGCGTGAACGTGTGCGTCTCGTCCTTGAAATAGTTCTCGAGATCGTGGACGTGCAGGTTGCCGTTGGAGAACGACTTGCCGGGCGCAATGTGGAAGTTTCCGACGACTTTATTGACACGGATGCTGCCTTCGAGACGGCAGCCTTCCTTGCGCTGCGCGTCGAGGTGCTCAGCGTAGTGCTCGCGGTCGCACTGTTCAACGCCCTCGCCGCGGCCGAAGGACCAGGATATCGAGGCGTAGGCGTCGCGGACCTCGTCGCACGTATTGCAGCAGCCGGGTTTGGAGGCCGCGGTGGGGGCGGGCGCGCCGTAGCATTCGCCGCAGTAGTTGGGGTCGAGGTGGGAGGCTTCATCTCTGTGGCTGCGCATCCTGTGTTAGCTGACGAAGTGGAGGCGGAGCCGGGGGTGGGGCTTACAGATCCAGAGTCTTCGTCTCAATGACCTTGTTTCCTTCGCTTTCGGGCGTCAAGCGCACTTTGTTAACGCCGTGTGTGACGCCCATTTGTAGTTCGCCGGAGACGTCCATAACATCGAGCGTGAGCAGCTCGCACGGCATGCGGGGGAATGTAATGTTCATCGAAATCTCCATCTTCTCGCCTGCGATTCAGTCAGCCCAGCTCAACTCCAAGTCCACCTAGCCCGCCTCGCTTCCAATGCCTTCGACTGCCTTTCCCCATCTCTTTGCCATTCTACGCTCCCTTCTAGCCTTTCAGTCCTCCCATGTTCAAGGATATACTGAACCAACATACCTCTCCCCTTATCAACCACCAACTCCGGCCGAACCGTAACCCTCCGATAATCCGCCCACTCGCCCCACACCAGCCAAAAAATAATAATCAAGCTCGTAATCGTGACAACGCCGCCCGACGTTGTCCGTATGCGCGCATCTTCCACCGTCTTGGTAAAGGCGTCGAGGCGCGTGAAGCGCGATTTGGCGGGCATTGTGTCTGCGCTCTTCTGTTATCTCACTCGAGAGGGTTGCTTCGAGGATCGATTCGGTGGGTGAGGTCTGCGTGAGGTGTGGGAGCGTGCGTGCTCGTGAACTACGGGTGGGAGAATCTCGGAGAGCTCCAATTGCGACCTTTCACCGGCGCAATTGTGTGCTAGCGGAGAAGAAAAGGAGTGAAAGACGCACTATACGTGCCAAAGACTCTGTATCATTATACAGGAAGAAGAAGAGAAGCCGTGGAGGTGAGTCTTGGAGATTTCGTGGACTCGGCTGAATAAAGGACAGCTATGCGATCTGGATGTTTTAGCTTGAGGTACGAATCCGTCCGCGCGCTGCATGAGCCTAGACTGAAAACGGTGTAGCGGGGTCAGGGTCTCTTGGCGAGCACGTGGCCGGGGCCATTCACCTGCGGCAGACGTGAGTGAAGAACCCGAGATGCCGTGTATCACGCAAATGCTAGTGCAACGCACATGTTAAGACGCCAACGCGCCAAATGCAATACCTATATTTGCATCTATTTGGGAATCATCTACTAGAAATGCAATCCTCCGAACTAAGTGTTACTGATGCTACCTCCCCATCCTCCAGATCTCACTCTTTGGGTATCGCTAATGGCTTTTCCTCTGAGCATTGGCCAGGGCACTATTCAGTGCGGCAGTGACATCGACGTGGAATAATGGCCTGTTCAAGCCCTGCACGACGGCAACCTTGCTCGGCTTCTGGCTCATCGTGCCGTACGCTTTGGCCTGACTGAGCTGTTTATCCAGCGAATCCACGTCAGAATCCGGCGTTGAAGACCGGGAGCCAGTCCGCACTTCAATATCGTCTGAAGCCTGGTCGCGCTTCGCAGCTGCCTTCAGAGCCCTCCTATTTTCCCTCGCTTCAGCCTCCGCCGCAGCACTGTGGCTTCCTCCAATCTCAGCAACGCTAAAGATGGGCTTCCAGCGGTGGATACCGGAGCCATCCGGTTCAGGGGTATAGTATCCGAACCCAGCGGCTGCTAGGGCTCGCTTGGTCCAGCGGTTGTTGACATTGCTGAAATGCCAGTCGACGGTGTCTGGGGCAGCGTAGCGGTCAAGCTGATTTCGAACATCGATCAGATTCTGGACCGAAGTGAGGTCAACATTGTTGACTGAAGAGAAGTCGAGGATGATAGCCTTCAACGTAGGCCGTTTGTCGGTCGGATCGACTTCCTTACCGCGGCGTGGACCGGGATCATTCCATGGACGATCCTATATCTGTTAGTACGCACCTTCCTAGAAAATGCGGGAAACACTTACCCCAGGCCTGCCGTACGTAGCCGGGTTTGTGCGGCGGGTCTTCTTGAAAATGGTATCCACCAGCTGATCCAGGTAGTGGTTCGCGTTCGGGTAGTTGAAACCCTCGGAGAAGCGGTAAATGAAAATTCCCGGGTAAGGATCCTCCAGCTCGATTTGAGGATTGCTCCCGTCATGGTGATCAATGGGCAAGAACACATTCCGCACCGAGTCTTCGCTCTCAGCAGGGTTCCTTCGTGGGCTGGCATTGCCTTCTTTGTCCTCTTCTGGTGGGTGGAGCAAATGATCGCCGATGACAGAATGGATCTTTGCTCTGCCAAGAAATCGTCCTCGAGCCTTGAAAGCGCGGAACAAGAATAGAGCTGCGGAAACGGAAACGGTCGTGTAGATGCCATTCTCGATGCTGCTGAAGACCGTTACAATCACACCAGCAAAGAAAATAGGTACCTCCAATGGGGAAATGCGCCAGAACTGGTAGACAGTGTTTGGCGGGGTTATTAAATCTCCGACAGCGTGAATGATCACAGCGGCAAGTGCAGCATTCGGAATATACCAGAACATCGCCGGAAGGGCGTAGACGGCGAGCAATACCACTATGGCAGTGATGACACCAGCAAAGGGGGTTCGAACACCGGCCTTAGACTTAATGGCGGTCCGGGAGAATGAACCAGTCGCGGGATAAGCACCAAGGAAGGGACCGAGCACGTTGGTTACGCCGATGGCTACCAATTCTTGCGAGGGATCGATAGTGTAATTGTTGATCCTTCCGAAAGATTTCGATATGGAAATGTGCTCAATTAATAGCACGATCACGGTAGATGGGAGCTCGGACGCGAAGGACGAAATGATGTCGGTCGTGATACGTGGCACCCGCGCATGTTTGAAGCCTAGCATTGAATCAACGAGCCGTTGGTTTGCAGAGGACTGGGAGGCATACCTCGTGGAACATTCCCAAGCGTCGTGAATATTGGCTTCTGCCCTTTGCCTCGGTGGTGCCGGTTGCACAAGTAGCTGATGAAAATGTAGAGCAGAATGACAAACGCCGTCCGTAGCGTGCTGATGAAGAAGAACGTCCTCTGCTTATTCGGGTACCGCTTCGCGAGGTAGGTACATGTGAAGCGAATAAGATAGAGTAAAAACAGCGCAGAGAGTCCAATGGCGGCGTTCAGGTCCGATCTGCCTAGGTGCTTCAAAATGTTGATGACGACCTTGTAAGTCGCTTCTCGTGTCGAAAATCCCGTGATGCCCATCATGTTAGGTACCTGGCCGACCGCAATATTCAGCGCAGACCCTGTCATGAAAGCGGAAATCGCGGCCAGAGTGATGAACTCGACGATCCAGCCCAGACGCGCAAGGCCAAGGAAGAGTACGATGGAACCAGCAATGATGGCAAGCGAAGACGCTATGATGTCCCTTGAAACGTCTGGCACCTTTTCAGCCGCCTTGAGAACGACATTTCCGGTAACCGTTGACAGCACAGCCACGGGACCAATGGTGATGTCCTTAGAGGTGGCGAAGAACCAGTAGATTAGAACTCCCATGAAGGACGAGTAGAGACCGAACTCTACGGGTAGCTGCGCAAGCTTTGCGTAGGCCATACTCTGTGGAATGACGACGGCACCAACCGTAATGCCTTGAACAGTAAGCGACGGAAGGAGCGAAAGATTAGAGGATAAACATACCGGCAACCAGATCACCAATAAGCCATTGGACGTTGTAACGAGTGATCCACTTCAGGAAAGGGAAGAGATGGACGAGGTAGTGGATAAGATCTCGACCTGAGGGTAGAATTTCATGGAGCCATTCGGCCGCAGTCGGTTCCCGCTCAACGTAGGTGTCGGCAGAGGTAACGGAGAAGACACTCTCGCCTCGGGTGATGCGGTCGGAGCCAGTTTCTTGACGATAATGCAGGTCGATGCCTAAGATTTTGGCAAGTCCATGGCCGATCTTGGAAGTGGGAGAGGCCATCTTGGCCAATGTCGGCGTATGAGAGAAGGGTGCCCAAGGCTATACCCCGGGACTCGTGGCACAAAGAAGACCGACTCTATGGCAAGCTCCTGCTGGCTGAAACGCTGACAAGCTTGACAAGCTTTGACAAGCTACCAGAGATACGACCCCGGCGCCTGGGATATATAGATGCCCAGGTGCCAGGAGAAGCTGCAGTGCACCTAAACCAGCCCTGTGGTTTGCTTTTGGCAGACCAGACCACTGGAAAGCGGCTAGGGTAGGGAAGGTGGTGGGCTAGAAAAGCCACCAGTCGGAGGAGGGTAGGGAGATTATTGGGATTGGAGTCGCCTGCGCCGCCTACGTCCAGGATGCGATAGAGATTGGCGCCCTCAGGATTCGCTGATATGGCGGCGGTATTGCGTGACGCGATGCTGTCAACTGCCAACACAGGCTCCAATGCGACGGGGAGGGAAGATGGCGACCGGGAAATGTGGTAACATGGATTCTAGAGACGATGGGAAGGAGTAGGAGGGAAACTAGGGGTGTAGGGTAAGGCGGATAGATGCCCCAGGACACCCAGATGCAGTGACACAGGGCATCATTTCCAAGCGGCCGCGATTTGCCATGTGACATAATTGCTCAACAGATCAGCCAAGACGTGGATGCACGCACGGTACGACGAGCTTGGGTGCGCCACGCGGTCGGATCGATGAAAGTTGCAGGGATCGACGGCTGAGGCGACAGGGTTGGTGAGAGACGGCGCTGAGGGTGGGACCAATGACGAGACCCTGGACCACAATTGCGTGCTCCACGGCGAAGATGTCGTTTTCTGTACGGGTGGATTCCCATGAGCGCCGTCGGCCGCATTGAAAGCCGGCAAAATCGAAATAAAGACGGGGCATCAAATTTTCTTGATGACGTCTGCCGCGCAGAGGGTCAAAGAATCTAACCGCCGCTTACCGGCTCTCTGCGGAGAGGGGCGCATCTGTGTCTCGTCAGACAGTAAACTGGTGGAGGTGATTAGGCAGGTGTTAGAAGTGTTGACCGTACCACAGTAATCGGCCCGGATGCGGAGGCGTGCAGAGTGAGATGTGCCGTGTTGCTCACCTCCAGCGTCCCCTATGCTGCACGTGGAGCAACCGGCAGCTCCACCTGGGCAGACGCATCCTGCCGTCGCTTACGTTGATCCCAGGTTGTTTTAATATACGTCGAGCAACTGTATGTAGGCGCGATCTCCGACCTCCGACGGGCGGATTCTTGTAGAAGCCGAGCGCGAGGGTACCGGTAGAGGAGCGCGGTTCGAATGAAGCCCACAGCGGGCGGCGCTGGGGTACGAGGAGGTCGAAAGTGTATACACAGTAAGGCACTTCCGCCTATTGATCCCATATCGATGGCGGCGAGCGTCTCGTTCCGGGTGGTGGTCGGTGGAGGAGCTGCTTGGCCATCCAGGGCAACTCTACTGGTAGGCGTGTGAGGTCGGCGCCACGCTTTCTGGCTCTGGACATGACTTCAGTCGCCGGTCTCCTCAACATCAGGACATCCTCCACACGACCCGACGATGCAGCAGAATGGTGCGCACCGTGGACTTTTGGGGTCGAGATGTGGGCGGTATCGAACAGGCCGAAAGCGGTGAGCGAGGCGGAGAGTCGGCGGGCGCGACCGCCAAGGATCGCGAGTGCGAACCACTGGAAGCCCCAAACACCAGCCTCCGCGTCCGACGTCGAACACCAGGCACTACCTCTCCAAAGCGCGATGCCGAACCTCGATATGCTGCTCCTCGGGCAACGCAGAGGAGAGGAAGGGCTGAACGACCTGCGCTACACTATTCTCACCCAGGGCATCCCCGCCAACAGCGAGGGCATGGTGAGTCGCTACCACTGACCGTCAGGACGTGTCAGAGCTGTCAAGCCTCACGCTACCGTTGTTCCTTCATCGCGCTCACGTGCCGCTTCTCTTGCGCTGACTCTTCAACCACAAGTCCGAATTGCGCATCTACATCTGGCTCATCTTGCTCAATGCGCCTCCGCTCAAGACCGACGTCTACCTCGACCTCGTCCGCCAGGGTGCCTCGCCGGCGCACACCAAGATCCTGAACGACGCCTTCCGCACCTTCCAGGGCGATCCGCTCTTCCGCCGGCGCGTCACGCAGAACAGCATCACGCGTGTCCTCAACGCCGTCGCGTGGCGATTGAACGACGCGCACGAGGCACGCGTCAACGGGTGGCAGTCCCCACCCACTCTATCTGAGTTCGGCGGCAGCCCCGACACCGCCTTGCTATCGCGCCATTCATTCACCACCAGCGCACGGACGGACGCGTCAACCACCAACGACGCTGAGCAGATTGGCTACGTGCAGGGTATGAACGTGCTGTGCGGTCCATTCCTGTATGTTGCGCGAAGCGAGGTCGAAGCCTTCACTGGCTTCGAGAGGCTCATCACTCAGGAGTGCCCGGGTTATGTAAGAGGCTCAATGGAGGGAGTGCACAAAGGCCTGGCATTGGTGGACAGAGTGCTCGAGGTGGTGGATCCGAAGCTGTACATCCATCTTATGAACAACCAGATGGAGGCCAGGATATACGCCTTCGCGTCCGTCCTGACCATGTGCGCTTGCACGCCGCCCTTGCCAGAAGTGCTCCGGCTTTGGGACTTTCTGTTTGCCTACGGCGCTCATCTGAATATTCTCTGCATTGTCGCACAGCTGGTCCTGATTCGCGGCGACCTCCTGAGGAGCCCAAGGTCAGTCCCCAGTCCCTTGCATAAGTACTGTACAGCCACTGACCGATAATAGCCCAAACCAGATCTTGCGAAGCCTCCCGCCTCTGAATGCGGCCGACATCATCCAGGTCGCTCTGTCCTTTGCGGGTAAGATACCAGAGGACATGTACGAGGAATTGATCAACCATGCGAAGTGAGGCGACCATGATGGTCCGAGTCTACCCCCTCGCTGGACATCATCTAGACCAGCCTGTACGACGAAATGAAGCGAGCCCGGTTAACTTTCCGGATGATAGGCCACGAAGCTGGCAGCTTCCAGCGACGGAGCCTGTGGAAGGATTTCGCGCGGAAGAGGAACTGGAACGAAATAACGATGTCAGGACATTTGCAAAAGAGCCATGATCTTAGAAAATAGAGACACTGTAGGATTAAAGAAGCTCGCCCGGCGCGGCAGAGGAAATCATACTCTAAAAATACACGGTCGCAACTTGCATCGCTCCGATACAGACTCCAACCGCTTGAAGTGCCGTTCCGGAGCCATCGCGGCCATATGCTCGATCCACTCTTCCAGGGGGAGATATAGAAATAGTGTGCCATCTAAGCACTTGTGGCGGATCGATAGAAGAAGACAGCACAGATTCGAAAGCATCGGGTCGATCCTGACAACCTGGCCAGTCATCCTGAGCATTTCTCAGATCCGGGCCCGTATCGAGAGAGTTAACCAGCGTTCCGTATACACCAGCGGGGTTGTTTCATTACCAGAACAAGGACAATAGGCGGATGGAGGCCAGGGGAAGCGAATGCTCCGGGCTATGTAATGTGCTAGGCTCGGAACTGCTGAAGCGTACTAAGGCGCTGAATGCGCATCACCACCTATAGTCCGCTGTCTGTAGTCGAGGACGGCGTGTGGGCGGATTGCAGATCAACTGTTTGCGCAAGACCCGCTACGGATCACGCAAGCTATGCGGCTGGATCTATCCCGCGCTATTGGAGAGGGTGGGCTTTCGAAGCGGAAATGGGAGGTTCTGGGACGCCGGCCGTGATTTGGACCCAACTCTGAGGTCTGGACTTACTGCCATTGAATGGGTTGGGTTGCTTTGATCCTAGTAAGACAGTTGTGGTTGATGCTCAAGTGAGACGTCTACCGTAAAGCACCATTTGTATCTCTCACTCGTGTTTATGACCTATCTGTTGGGCTGCTTCCTCGCACCGAGGCACCCCGTTATGCAGGATTCCCTCACTCTTCGCTCTTCTTTTTCTCGTTATCGCTGGCACGGAAATGCTTGCGGGTGAGAGAAGAAGGGGTGACCGCCATAAGCCGTGATTACCGTGGTCAACCCCGACACTATCGCCTCCCTAAAAGCTAAAAGCCATAACCCGTGTCACAAACGGAGAAAAGAGGACACGCTTCCATTCCAGCCCTCGCTGAAGCCCTTCCCACGATGGAGGTGTCTATCGGCGAGACAGAGCATTTGTTCTTCACCGCTACCATGCTACCAGCCGGGCTTGAACCACCCCATATTTTGGCCTCAGGGCTCTCACCCCAGCGTTGGCCGCTCACAGGCCGGCTCCATTCCTACTTACGCTCTTTCACCAAGCGCCTGACCATCGAAGAGCGCTGCCAGCGTGGAGAGGTATAGTCGCGTTATGTGGAAGACGTTTGCAAACGGCGTTGACCAGGCAAGGCAGGATGGTGACTTTAGTCGGCAGGCCTCTGGAGACGAGGACAAGGACGAAGGTGTATCCCAACCAGCACGCTTCCTCGCCCGCTCCGCGACGCCGGACGAGTCGAGCGGCGCCCCGGAATCTGTGGCCTCGAGTGGCGAGTCTGAGCCGGAGGATGAGGACTTCGAATAGGTCGTTTGGATAACACAGATCCTCCGGGAGGCGTGGCCTTTTCGCTTTCCACTCCGGGCCCTTGAACATCCTTTTATGGAAGGAAGGCAGAGAGTGCGAGCCTTACTGCACACTCCTGCTCTTCGAATTCCTCGCCACTCGCTGAAAGAGCGCGGAAGAATCCTGTGCTTTGAACATCACAACGTCGGTGCCTCAAGGCTTCATCCACAACCCGGGATGCTGCGTCTGCCGCCGATGGCATCAGCTTCCTAGGAGTCCTCATTCATGCCAAGCCTCCAGTCCAGCTCAGTCTCAGGAATGAGTGCTGGAGTTCACTATCCAGGACGAGTTCTCTCCGCGATCAAAGAGCCACCATGGTCAGCACACGCTTGTGCAGCTCTCTCAAGAAAGCGAGCCGCGCCACAGCCTTCCGGCGCATCTCGGCACTGTCTCCCAGACCTTCACCCCGGGCGTTTCCGAGCAACCGACCACCACTCACTCTCTAGCCGGGTCTTTACAGTGAACAACAGCGTTCTGCTGAAAGTCAGTGAAGAAACTCTCCACCCCAATGGGAATGTTGTGGGATGCGGATCCGAACAAGTCTCTCTGGTCCTTGATGACGAAAGGCCAACCGACACCCACTCAGCCTGTCGCCGGACGAAAGACTCCTCCGCGCCCTATGAATTGCTGGATGCTGTATCGCATACTACTCGGCCGACCCCAGAGAAGAAGCACGCGAGGCGGAGCAGGATGCGGAAGGAGCTCGTGAGCTCTAGAATCCGACCGTTATCCGATCCATCTAGGAGATCGACTCTCACCTCAATAACGCCTACGCCGACCTTGCATATGAGGGAACCACCGCTTACAAAGCCGCCGTCGAGGCTAAGGATGATGCGGAAGCGAAGCTAAAAGAGACGGGTTTCTACCTGTTTCGAGGATGGCGGATCTGGGCAGATTCTCCTTACGTCGACGTCGGGGGATAGACCTATTTGGCTTCTACCAGAACTCCTTCGCCCATTCCTCAACCTCAGGCGAATCAATCTACGGCGACGCCATGGAGAACCAACCGAGCGCAGCGGCTAACACGCCCTCGTAGGGTGTGCTGGCCGGGCACTCGAAGAAGCGAAGCAACCTGGTCCATCATCCGGGATCAAATCGCTGCGCGCAATCCAGAGGCCCTGGGGGTGGGAGTTCCCCAGACCCAGCGGCCTCCGTGGTTGGTTGCAGCCACGATTTCGTCTGCGTCATCTGTCCTGTTCGTTCCTCAACATCCCTTCATCTGAGACGTACCTTCAGAAATTGGGGACGGGAATTTGTTTTTGATAGAAAGACGGCGCATGGCTCAGCTTTCTGCCGACGGGCAGAGGCGCATGCACCTTTCCGGCTCTGTCCACTTCATCTTGGCCGTCTGCCCTCAGGAGAGAACCCACCCCCGGTGCCAGGCTCTCCCGACGCTGGAGCCGCAGCGACAGCGACAGCGCTCATTGTGGAGGATATCATCGGCATCTGTCAGTTCGTGGGCTATGTGTGCTCAGGAAGACGATGCGATTCCGCGAGATACGACCCTCGCCTTGCTTTGTCCACCTTCCTCGGTCAATCCCCCAGCTCCGCCCGCGACACGAGCTCAGCTATAGTGTGCTTCGATGCAGGGCATGCTTTAGATGGGAGTGAGTGGTTGATGAGAAAAGAACGGGAGGTGGAAGATTGGCGGGAGGGGTAGAAGTTAGTGATGAAGTCTTGCTGTAGTTGCAACTGACTGCCCAGAATAAGAGAGCATATCAGCAAGGAGAAATTATCCATCTCGTCTCATTTGTCGGGGTTCACAAGGGGTCATCTACTTGCTAAACGGCGCATAGGAGGTATACAGCGAAACGAAGCAAGCTCAAATCCAAATGAAACACGCTATGCTAAAGACGCTTCCATCGATGCATTTTCCCTTCCCATCCCATCCCAAGCCAACATCCTCCTTTTCCAATCCATACCATCCATTCCACCATTTTCCCAACCATCATTACGTGAATCATAACGCGTCCTATAGAAACCCTCCTCTTGCTCATCAGCGCCAAATCTTCCACTTGCTCTTCTTCGGCGGGACGAAGCTCTCCTGACTCTGACTCTCTGCGCCGCTAAAACTCCTCTCGTCGCTCCTGCCATCATAGCTGTCTTCGTCATCGTCTGCGTACCTCCCTCCGCCGAGGTAAGGTGCTCCAACTCCCGCAGTCCCATGCCGCCCACCGCTAGAAAAATAGTCCCCTCCAGTGTCATCCCTCGCCTGCACCGCGCCCCTGGTATATGGACTCCCAGGCCCAGCACCTACAATCGCCGGGTGCGGCGGATATGAATCCCTCTTCGACCTCGCGTGCTGCGACGGCGTATGTGCAAGCACATGCGCCTCACGCTCGAATCTCTCGTCCCGATGCTGATTCAGTATACCGCCCATGCTCCTCCGGTGCACTTTCAGCTCGTCTTGTTCCGGTGCGCGAGGGGCCGGTAATTGTGATTTGTGGGACGAATTGTAAGTCGGCTGACGGTTGGAGTTGGAGCGAGATGGCAGGGCGGTTGCGGCTGTTTGGGTCTGTGTGTGGCTGTAAGAAGTTGGATGTTGGGTGGGAGCTGGGGCCGACACGTGCCGGCGAGCGGCGACGGATTCCCAGGCAGAGGAGGGCGGCGGATGTGCAGTGTGCGGCGAGGGGATGTCGACGCTTTGACGGCGGTTTTGGGGGGCGGGAGCGGGGGCCGCGTCGCGGACGGGTCCCGGTCCTGGAGCAGAGGGCGGGTTAGCAGGATGGCTGGGAGAGTGGGGAGCTTGTTGGGAGTGGGAGGAGTTGCGCTTGCGGTTTGTAAAGCCGGGGATTAGGAGTCGTGGCCCGACTTTATACCTTTGACGCGCGCGCTCTTCCTCGTTCATGTCTCCCGCCTCGCTGCCGCTCTCGCTGGCCTCGCCGCTGGAATGCGAGTACCCATCGTCACCGACGGTGTGGTGCCGCCTGCCCCCACCGAACACGCCGAACATGCTTCCGATGCGCGACTTTCGACGCTCCTTTTGTACTATGCCGGCTTCTGAGGTGGTGTAGTCGAGCGCGGGAACAAGCAAGCGGTACGGATTCGTTATGCCGGCAGGATCGTGTTGCGAGACCTCTAGATTCAAGCAGATGTCTAGGCCGCCTTCTAGGTTGATGTAGGTACTTTCATGCGCTAGACCCTTCTTGCCTAGGGTGCTGGGACGGCGGTGGAAGTTGGAAGGGCGTTCAGACGACTGGCTATTGTCGCGACCAAAGGAGCTGCGTTTTACTGGCATAGTGTGTGAAGATCCCGGCGGATTGACGCTATCGACGGAGGCTCGGCGGCGGAACAGGGAGGTGAGGGAGTTCCGCCTGGAACGAGGGCGTTCAGGGCGTTCGGGCGAGAAGGAGGATTGAGGCCCGATCTGATGTTCTTCGGCTTCGACGTTCGCGGGATTATTATAATAGGACACTGGTGGGCCATGTTCCCGTCCTCTTTGGCCACCACCGCTCATACGTCTTACCACCTTCCCGGGGGTGAAGTCCGAGAGTGTTCGAGCGAGCCTTGGTCCCTCTGTGCCGGGTGAGGTGGGAGGGGATGGTGTTGTTGGAGGGGTCGTGCCTGGTTTGTACTCGCGAAGGCTACACCAGTTCCGTCGCTGGAGAAGGTGGGTATTGTTCCTCTTCCTACCGTCAACGTCATGGGTAAATAGTGGAATCATATCTTCGTCGGTATAATCATCGAGATGATGAATCTTGTTCCTCTTGTTCAGGATGTCCGCCATCATTTCAGGGGGTGGCGTGTTTACGATGGCGGATGAGATCACATTTGGCATGTATCGATGGTCCTTATCTTTTGGGATATTGAGCTTCTTGTTGCTGTAGAATTGCCCAACAGCCGCGAGATGGACGTCACCTCCGAGGATTGTGACACGCACGGACTTAGTGGAAGCAATGTGCTGCAGTTCGCGAATGAGCCAGTTGCGTTCGTCCTTGTGATGTTTCGCTGTCCAGTGATCATCCAGGTCGTCTAAGATCTCGACTCCACCATCGAATTTATTGACAAAGTTGCCGAGCAGTCCAGCGCGGCCAAGGGCCTTAATGGGGTCCATAAGCCTGCTCGTGAGTATATTTTCGAGGAAGTTGAGCCTAGGATAAGCGATGGGAACGCCAAGCAACACGAGCAGATGCTTGGTCTCGTCTTTGATAATTTCGGCTTCCAGACGATCGAAAATGACGTCGTATGAGTCCTCCGTAATTATTTCATCGCGTTGACGTTCGGTGCGGCAGTCCAGACCCAGGAAAGCGACCTGTCGCCCAAGATGCATGAAGACGCTGCGCGACTGCTCCTTGATATATGGCCCTGGATGAGCACCTAGGACCCACGAAGGCTCTGTCTTCTCAGTCTCAGCGGCAATAGACTGGTGTTGGAAGAGCATATAGTATTTGAAAGCAATAGCGCCGAGACCTGTGAAGACTGGCGTCTGCATGAAGTGATGAGGGTACGATCCATATCCCTGCGCACCGTTAGCTTCCAACCATTCGTCAATACTTCTACTTGCACTTACATCAATGATGTCGTGGTCATCCCAGATGTTGATCATGGGGATCTGGGAATTCGCCATGCCAAACAAACCCTGCGAGAACCACATTGCATACCGGTCTAGATAAAACTGCTCCAGCTCGTTCTGCAGTTCCTCGGAGAAGGAGGCGTTGTGTTTCTGCAACGGGTTCTTGCTCTCCGTCCATTGTTTGAAAAGCGTCGTTTGGCGCATCGCCGCATCATTGTAGATCTGATCACCTCCACCAATCATGACGTGGAACGGACGTGTCTGATGGTTGTTCAAGACATCTCGCCACATAGGGTCTGGGCCACAGAACTCTTTCGAGTCTACGCTCAGTGAGAATCCGTTACAGCTGTGGAACATTATGTTCATCGTCTCGCCCTTAGCAGGGACCCAGAAACCAACAGCTGGACCGCGATTGATTCTGTAGGCGATTCGTGCCTGTGTCGCGCCGAGCTCTACCTCCAGATTGAAACGCCAGAAGGTAACACCTCGTTCAGCGTAGAGCCTAATGCCAGGGATCTCCCGTACCTTGCCTAGCTTCTCTCCATCCTTCTTGCGGATGCGAGAGGACTTCTGAGTACTGGAACTCTGTAGGGCGGATGCGCTTCGAAATTCTGCGAAAAGACCGCTGTCATCCTCAATTCGAGAGATGTCCTCATTCTCAGGGATCTCCTCCACTGGTTTGGCATATAGAGTCTTTCCAGTTCGGGACACTTTGGTCTGACCAGACAGGGGATCAACATGTGCTGGATCAAGGTCGTCGCCGTCCACGTCAGCCGGCGGGGGTGGAAGGAGATCCATCGGTTGTTTGAAGAGTCGCAGCGTGGGTGGCCTTTGGTATGATGACTGCTCGTCGATTGTCACAATCATGACGCTGCCGCGCCATATTTCACGCTCCTTTCCCACTCTACTTCGATCTCTGCGCAGGCCAGTGTAGCGCAAGAGCGGGCCGCACTTTAGATACAACGGTGGATTGAAGGTAGTTTGTGTAGCTGGGGGATCCACGTAGCCGTCGTAAGAGGCTTCCACATATCCGCTCGAGCGTCGCCGTCGCGTGGACGTACTCTCCTCCCACCAAGCCTTCTTTCCGCTATCTGATCTCGCGGGTGCTTCCAGATCAAGATCGTCTTCAACCAGCGAAGCGATTGGGGCGCTTCTCCACTCTTCGAGCATTGGTGAAGGCACATACCGCCTATCGTCATGATGTGAGAATACGTCAGGCAGGTGGTGATGATGAGACTCTTGAGATTCATCAGGTTGTGGCTCGGACACAAGGTCCGCGAAACCCACGCCTCGACGTGTAGTAACCGTAGGAGCGGTTGGAGGGTCGTGGGGGTGAAGATGGCCCATTCCTCTGGCACCATTCTTTTGATCGATGCGCTGCTGTTCCCTCTCCATCCGGGCGGCGACTATACCTCTGCTATCTCTTGTTTTATCATTCGGAGTCGGAGGTAGGTCCTTGGACAATCTTTTACTGTCGTACCGACTTATGCTGGCGCCGACCGGTCGCGAAGCACTAGGAGCATCTTCCACCCCATAGAGCCCTAATCCGGTGGGTACAGGGATTGGCTTACGTTCCACCTTCTGGGCAGGCTGTACCGTTCCGTCCAGGCCTCTCGGCGCTCCCGCACGTTCCCGGAAACTGCCCGTTCCTCGTGAGACTCCAGCGGGTTCCTTCCCCTTCATGCTCGATGTACGTCCTACGCTCGCATCCACATGATTTAAAGTGTGCTTCTGGTGCTGGGAGCCAGGAGGCAGCTGTTGGCCCTTTGACTGAGACGGCGCCCTGTGTGGGCCCGTTGCCCTCCGGCCTGCTGATGGGTCCCATGGGTCGCTCAGATCGTACATGAAACCGTCATCGGACTCGCTCAAATCGTCGTCGGGCGGGGCTTTGGGCTTCTGTATGGGCATCGAAGCATGGCGTTTCCCAACTGTAGCACTGGTGCTTAGGTCTGAACTGGGCACTGGCCCCGATACGACCCGTTGCTGTTTCTCCGCCGCTTCTCGTGCTCGGCGAGCGCGCATCTCGGCTTCAGCCTTCTCTTGCGCCGCCAACTCTATTTCCAGAATCCTGGCTCTTCTCTCCTCCTTGCTGATGTCATCGAGCTTCCCCTCCAGCTTCTGTAGCGGCGATCGATCCGGCACAGAGGGTCTACGTGACTGTGAGTTCCTTCTTACGCTCTCAATGGTCCCAGAAAGCGGCTCAACGGGCGAGTAGGGGGGCGAGCGCAGCTGCTGCAACCTCTCGGCAGGTATCGTGATGTTCGGTTGCTGTCTGCTCGAGTTCACCTGAATGGTCGGGTCTCGTGATCGTCCCGAGTACGACCGGGTGGGCACTCGAGAACTGGCTTTCGGCGCATACGGGTCTCTATATGACGTGGGTGGTCCCCGAGGCACGTCAGGGGCGGCGGGCAAGGGCTCGGTCGATACGGCCGTTGTAGGAGGAGGTATCTGCTGGCTCTGTCGTCGGCGGTGGGAGGAGCTTCGCGAGACGCCGTTGGTAGCGGGTGCGGCTGCAACTGGGCGCGCCGAATTGCTCGGGATGGGCTTCGCGGGCGCCGGTTGCGCATCAATTGGTCGCCGGTACGAGGCGCCCTTCTTCGAGTAGCCATCTGGGAGCGGCTGCTGCGCGGGCTTGGCGGCCCGCGAGGAGTAGGAGCCGCTGTTCCCACGGTTCTCCATGCTGCCACGGGCTCATGTGGGTCCAGATGCTTGGGGAGATATGGGCGTGGGAGCAAACTGCGACGGAGGGCCCCGGCGTGGGCGATGGCGTTGCGCAAGTTCGGTACGCTGGTTACGCTAATCACAAAGACGCATTTAGACACAGTTTCCATTCAATAAGCGGCGAAGTGTAGCTACCTAAGAGGATGTGCACGGGCGACGGAGGTGCTGCGGAGGTGCGCTGCGGAGCGATAGGGCTGTTCTCGCGAAATAGGGCAAGTGTTAGAGACAACGATGCGCAGGCATGCTGCAATTGATTGCGCAAGCAGAAATAGAGACTATGTACAATGCAAGGGGAGGAGATGGTGGTCGCAGCCCGGCGGCTGGTGATATCAGCGACGACAACTCACACCGAGAAATAAAGTGGCAGGCGCATCCCAGCCTCACTCCACACCGCCTTCCGATTCTGCCGCGCCCCTTCCCCAAGCGGCTAGGCCTTTCCGAAGACAGATGTGGCTTCCTCTTGCCCTGGCATTCGCCGCCAACGGCCAGAACACAGAGCGTTTCACGCGCTGTCCATCGCATCCACGCTTTGACGGGCTGCGCAGTCCTGCTTCACGACTCAGCATATTGCTACAGCGCTCTCTTCTTCTGTTGTGCGTACCGCTGTTCGGCCCAGCCCATGCGTTCAGTATATTACCCGAGACCCTCGTAACCCTCCCTCTCCGTCCTTCAACGTCTCCCGACTTCAATACACCACCACGTCCGAGCCCGCCGAGGCCACCGTCGCTCTTTCGAATACTCCCCACTCCGCTTCTTGCGCCCGACTTCGTTGAATAACCCGAACACCGTCTGGGTACATGATACAGTAACGGCTGGCTGCCCCCCTCAGCCCTCCTCGAGCGCATCTCGCCATGCGCCTCCTCAGTTTATGGGGCCTGCTCTCAGCAGCGACGCTGGGACTGGCAGGCCACCTCCCGCCGCGAAACTACAGCACCCACGACTACTATGCTGTCCATCTGTCCTCGTCCACGTCCCCGACGGAGCTGGCTGCGCATCTGGGGCTGACATACGAGGGCCCGTTCGGCGCGCTCGAGGACCACCACGTGTTCAAGGCACCCAAGCACGACAACGACGTCGTAGACGACGCAGTGCAAGAGCTCAAGAGGCGGCGGCGGAAACGAGAAGCCGGACTGGACCACCACATCCTAGATAACGTGCGCTTTACCCAGAAGCAGAAGATCAAGCCACGGCACTGGAAGCGAAGCGTAATACCAGACCTCAAAGTCGCGCGCGCTGGTCCCGACGTCCCCGCAGCTGTGAACCAGCAGCGAGAGATTGCCCAGGCGCTTGAAATCAAGGATCCAATCTTTGAGGAGCAATGGCACATCTTCAACGTCAAGACGCCGGGTAACGACATCAACGTCACGGATGTGTGGATGCAGGGGATCACGGGGAAGAATGTGACCGCCTGCATTGTTGACGATGGCCTGGATATGGACAGCGAGGATCTAAAGGACAACTTCTTCGCCGAGGGCTCATACGACTTCAACGACCACGTCGACCTGCCGAAGCCGCGGCTCTCCGACGATCGACATGGCACGCGATGCGCGGGCGAGGTAGCTGCTGGAAGGAACAATGCCTGCGGTGTCGGTCTTGCGTACGATGCGAAGATCTCCGGCGTGCGCATCCTCTCCGGCGATATTACAGACATGGACGAGTCGCTTGCCATCAACTATGAGCTGCAGAAGAACGACATTTACTCATGCTCGTGGGGCCCACCTGACGATGGTAAGACCATGCAGGCGCCTGGCATTCTTATTGAGAAGGCTATGATCACTGCTATTCAGCAGGGCCGTGGCGGCAAGGGCTCCATATATGTGTTCGCGGCTGGCAACGGCGCAGCCAGCGACGACAACTGCAACTTCGACGGCTACACCAACAGCATCTACAGTATCACCGTCGGCGCTATTGATAAGAACAATCTTCATCCGTACTATTCTGAGGCCTGCTCAGCACAGCTCGTTGTGACATACAGCAGCGGCAGTGGCGACGCGATCCACACCACCGACGTTGGCGCGAACAAGTGCACTGCTCAGCATGGAGGTACCTCCGCTGCTGGCCCCATCGCCGTCGGCGTATTCGCACTAGCACTGCAGGCCCGCCCTGAGCTTACATGGCGCGATATGCAGTGGCTCACCGTCATGAACGCTGTACCTTTCGATCAGCCCAGCGACTGGACGAAAACGGCGCTCGACCGCATGTACAGCCATCAGTTCGGTTATGGCAAGCTCGATGCTTATGCAATCGTTGAGGCAGCAAAGACCTGGGAGCTGGTCAAGCCTCAAGCGTGGTTCTACTCTCCCTGGATGCACGTCAAGAAAGCCATTCCTCAAGGCGACCAGGGTCTGGCCAGCGTCTTCGAGGTGACGGAGCAGATGCTCAAGGATGCAAACTTCGAGCGCGTCGAGCACATTACGCTTACCATGAACGTTGAGCATCAGCGCCGTGGAGACCTCAGCGTTGAACTGATCAGCCCCTCGGGCATGACGAGCCACCTTTCCACAGCTCGTCGCGATGACGATGCTCCTTACGGCTATATTGACTGGACTTTCATGAGCGTTGCGCATTGGGGTGAGACGGGCGTCGGAAAATGGACTGTCATTGTCAAGGATACAAAAGTAAACGACAAGACGGGCACGTTCACGGACTGGAAACTCCGCCTGTGGGGCGAATGCATTGATGCTTCAAAGCAAAAGCTGCGGCCTATGCCTACCGAACACGACGACGACGACCACAATGTCATCGACGACCATCCCGCCCACACTACCTCTATTATTGTCCCATCTGGTACCCCAGCCACCGACATTCCCTCAGACCTGCCCACTCGTCCCGTGAACCAAAAACCTACTAACACGGGACAGACGGCAGTATCTCCTTCTTCGACTGCGGCCTTCGAATCGCCCATCTCCGCTTCCTCAACCCCATCTGCGACTTCTTCTCCCGACAGTTTCCTACCTTCTCCCTTCCCTACGTTTGGTGTGTCTAAGCGCACGCAAATCTGGATCTATGGAAGCATTGGGCTAATTCTTGTTTTCTGCGCGAGCTTAGCCACCTACTTATATCTTGCGAGGCGGAAGAGACTTAGGTCCAGCCGCGACAACTATGAATTCGAAATCCTGGATGATGCAGACGATGATGAGGGCGGCGCAAGGACGGGCATGCTTAATGGAGCTGCTAGTGGAAGGCAAGGCAGGAGGGCGAGAAGAGGTGGCGAGCTCTATGATGCGTTTGCAGGAGAGAGCGATGAGGATCTTTTGAGCGAGAGCGAGGACGGCGATGGCCCGTACAGGGACCGGGATGAGAGTCCGTATAACGAAAAAGCACATACGCATGAAGGGAGCGATGCTGGCAGCAATGCAAGCGGAAGCTCAGGTGGGAAGAGGCAGTAGTGAGGTGTAGACGCTTAGTTGACTTCCTGTATTTCTATCATTGGGTGGCGTTCAATAGAGTCTTTGTTGAATCCATCCAGCTTTGAAGCTCTAGGGATCTGAAGGCCTTCAGGAAGCTGCCTCTCGTGTCGCGATAAAAGTTAGATATAAGCGCTTACTATCCCGCTGCCCCTAGCTCTTACGGTGTTCTGCTGTTGCCACCGGTTCGGCCCGTTCGTCAAGAAATCGCGTCATCCATCTGTCGGCTTTTCGCAAGCTTAGCGGAGTCCTGTTTACGTCCTGCGCCGCACCTAACGGGTAGTATTATATCTATCGATTAGATTAACGTACTTTACAAGCGAACTAACTACATAAGTAAGCTAACTACTTTTACTAAGCCTCTACTAAAAAGCTACTAACGTACTTTATAAGCGAGCTAGTTATACAAGCAAGCTAGTTACTTTTACTAAGCCTCTACTAAAAAGCCGCTATCTTAGTTAGATTACTCTAACTCTAAGCTACTTAAGATAAATCTAGATAAGCTATTTAACTTATCTATATTATCTTTAACTACCTAGCACGTTTACGTGTTATACTCTAGCTTACTATAGCGTCTATAGCGTTACTAAGCTAGCTAGCTATCGCGTGCTACTACCTCTTTATACTACTTCTTACTCTTATTCTAATCTATAGTCTTTCTTTAAGTAACTAGCTATAAGCTAGCTTTAATTATAAGAGTATTTTCTTTCTAAATCTACTTTCTTTTATATAAATTATACTTCTTTTTCTATACGTTAGCTACTTAAAGCTAGATAACTTTAGACTCTATAAGTACTAGCTAATACGCTATTAGCTTATTACCTTTCTTAAGCTAATTAAGTAACTTAATAATATAAGTTAGTAATAAATTAAAGTACTATATAATCTTTAATTAAATTAGAGTTAATTAGAATTTTACTTTAATAAGATTACTAGATATTTTATACTTCTAGGTAGTAGTATTAGTAGTAGAAAGTATTAGCGTATATAATTAAACTTTAAGCTTTAATACTACTAAATCTAGATTAAATAGAACTAAGCTAGTATTTCTAAATTCTACTCTAATATTATTATCTATAATTAATATATAAAAAGCTATATAAAATATAAATAGAAACTTAGTTTTTATAATATAGTTAATATAGCTATATATTAGAATCTTAACTTAGTAGCTATATACTATCTTTAATAGTAAGAAGTAGCTAATATTAAGTAGCTATAAAAGATATAATAAATATACTAATATACTTTATAAATAAATACTCTATATAAATAAACGCTCTAAAAATACTAAGCTTTTACTAAATACTACTATTTCTATTATAAAGCTCTCTATAAACGCCTAATTAACTTTAGATAAATTCTAAATATAGCTTACGCTTTAGACTATTTAATAGAACCTAGAGCTAAGCTTATAGCGCGCTATAGCTCTCTATAACGTAGAGTAGAAGAAAGTCTACTATTAATACTATAGAGTTACTCTATAACGCGAAAAGATACCTAATTTAACAAAGCTTATAAAAAATAAAAAGTAGGTAATAGTTAAGTATATACTTAATCTAAACGCGTAAGAATTTACTCTTATAAGAGCTAGGTCCGCGGTCTCTACTACTATAAGCGTTCCTAAACACCTAGCTAAGTAAGTTAGCTACAGGCAGTACTATCTCTACGAGCTATAAGAATAAAGAGTGCTAGCAGGGTAGGTTAGGTTAAATTTAGCTATTTAAAGGTAAGAAGTTAAGAAAAGGCTCTAAGAGGCTCTATATACAGAGGTGCTAAGCGCTAAGACGCTAGGTTAGGTTACGTAATCTAATTACGTAACCTAAAGTTATATAACCTAAGGTAAATCTCTAAACTAGACTGTTATATTACCCCCTCTTACAGGGAGAGCCCGTCCCTAAGCTCTAAAATACGCCTTCTAGGTCCCTCTCCTTCTAAAACTCCTGCGTTATGCTCTTAACCGTCTCTTTTAGCCTATAGTAAGTGTATTCGTGTTAGTTTTAAACTAAAAGCGCTTTTACAGCTACTACCTTCCCCCTAGTCGCTTTATTCTTGTAGAGATTTAAGCTAGAAGGCTTGTTTCTGCGTCTGTAGGGCGGCTTTGTCGCAGGCTCTCTTCTTAGCAGCGCCTTCGCGTTACTCTTATGTCTTCTACTCTTATAGGTTTTAAATCCTCTACTGTCTTCTCTAGGGTCTCCTCTTTTTTGTACGCCTTAATCTAAGCATCTAATTGTAATAGCGGCTCTAGCTTATCTAGGTATACTATATAAAAGTCTCTTACCTTGTAGAGAGCGTTAATAAAGCCTATAGCATTATACTAGGTAGAGTTAGAATTATAAGTAACCTATACAGCGCGGTATTAAAGACAATTTTAATAAAGATAGCTATCTAGAATTTTATATATAGGCTATTCTAGATTACTATTAACTTTAATAGGTAGCTACTTAGGCTCTACCTACTCTAGTAATAGCTCTAAGACTTTTCTTAACTAATTAGTGTAGAAGATGTTATGTATATGTATATACGCAGGTAGCTAGAGCTAGAAGAAGTAACTCTTTATAGTAATAATTAGGTAAGAGCTATATATCTATTAATCTAGCTTTACACTAGGCTAATCTATTAAAAAGCTACAAGGTTTAATATAGACAAGATTACCTACTATAAAATTAGGTTCTTAGCGCTTTTTGTTTACTTAGAGTACCTGCCTAGCTTACGCTTTCGCGATATTACTTTGTGCGATTTTAGTAGCTTTTTCTACGGCGTTATATTGTTTCTTAGTAAAATTCTAAGCTTTCTAGCGCAAGAGACGCTTACGTAGAGTAGAGGCTTTTATTATATACTTCTTCTAATTCTAGTAGTATATTAGCTAGTATCTAAATTTAATTTTATACGCTGTTAGTTCTATAGTTTTATATAATAACGTAGCTTATACCTAATCTATATAGAGTAGAAGGTCTAACTAATTATTCTAGTAGTAGTTAATAAATAGACGTAGACGCTAATTAAGATATTAATTAATAATCTTTGTATTTCTATTAGTTTGCGAGTAGTATATAGTAGAGAGCTTCTACTTAATTTCTATAAGCTAGTAGAGCTTATTTATAAAGGTAGAGGTAAACTATAGACTATAATCTAACATAATAGACCTAGAAGAACTATATATACGCTAGATATATTAGTAGTATAGCTCTACTATACATTAGGCTATAATTTTCTTATAGTAGAGTAGAGAGAAGCTCTACTTACTTAGCTAATCTACAATAACGTACATATAGTTAAATTCTTTCTTATTAGAGAGAAAGCTCTTAAAATCTATAGAGACGTTCTGCTATACCCTCTTAGAGATAAATAGAGGCTTTAGAAGACCTAGCGTCTTATTCTATAGAGTATAGCTCTAGTAGTAAGCCTTATACACCGCTACGTACGTATTAATATCTTCTTATATACCTAGCTAGTAATATTAATCTTATAGCAACTAGGTAGTTTTTCTTTATTCTAGGTAGGTAGTTACCTAAGTAGTATACACAGCGCGTATTAGGTGTGTTTATAGATAGTTAATAGCAGAGACTATTAATTAATTCTAATAGGTTAATAAGCCGTCTTCTATTTTCTAGGCAGAGCCTAATATAGTAGCTTTTTCTTAAGCTAGCTATAGAGAGTTATCTAATTAGTTAGCTATAATAACCTAATTAATTATAGTATATAGATTCTTAGTAGAGAGTGCCTCTATAAACGTATTAGTAGCAGCAATTTCTATAGTACTACTAGCTAATCTCTAGGTAGCTAGAACTAATAACTTACCTAATAATTACTTAATAGCTAAGAGGCTAATTTACTTCTTACTTAGAAAAGCTCTTGTATAGGTGGCGCGATTCTTCTTTTTTTAGGTTTTAAGCTCTTCTTACTTTTGTAATAACGCGTTCGCTGCTATATTTACTAAACCTAGTTAATAGATAAGCTTAAGGTTATAGTTAGTAATATTATTCGCCTAGTAGACCTACCTAGTAGTAAGTTCCCGCTTAGTAGCAAAGTACTCTAAGGCTTAGTAGTTAGTTAATACTATAAAAGGCTCTAGATCTTATAAGCTAATTAACTAGCTTCTCTACTTCTATACGCTAAGAATAACCGCTAGCATTTCTTTATTATAAATACTATAGTTTATCTAGATAGTATTTATTATTTTGCTAAAGAAAGCTACTAGTCTCTAGATACCATCTTCTTAAAGCTGTAAAAGGACTCTAGTAACTACGCTATCTAATACGTCTGTTTCTACTCTTGTATAGTAATAGAGAGAGTAATAAGCTAGTATAGTGTTAGATAGTATAAGATTCTTAACCTACTAAAATACCGCGAGCTTAATTTCTCTAAAGGTATACTATACTCTCTATTTTAGTAGCTTAGTAAGAGAGCGGACAATCTAGCTATAATTCTTTAAGAAGGCTTAGTAGAAATTACAGAAACCTAGAAACAATTAAAGGCTTTTAAGAGTTGTAGGTATAGGCTAATTCTAAATAGTAGTAACCTTCTTAGAGTTCTTTTAGATTCTATTAGTGCTTATAATTAATTCTAGAAACTTAGTACTTTTAATAGTAAATTTAGATTTCTTAATATCTACTTATAACTTAGCTTTATATAATTAATTAAGTACCTAGGCAACATAGGCTTTATACTTAAGCGAATCTTCTAAGTAAATAAGAATATTATTAATATATACTATATAGAAGTTGTCTAGTAAGCTATATAACACCTTATTAATATATTACTAAAAGGTAGCAGAGCTATTATAGAGGCTAAAGAGTAGAACTTAATACTTATAGTTACTATACTATATATAGAAAGATATTAGGTTCTCTACTAACTTATTAAGCTAGATCTAGTAGAAAGCTTACCTTACGTCTAACTTAGTAAAGACCTTAGCGCGTAATAGGTGTGTAAGCGTTTTCTAGATAAGAGAAATAGAATAGGCGTCTTTTTTTATAATAGCGTTAAGCTTTTAGTAGTTAACGTAGAACCTCTATTCTCTACCTAGCTTTTTAGTAAATAGAACTAGTAACGCGTATAACGTATTGCTATAGATAATAAAGCTACAATAAAGGTAGTTCTCTAGGTAATTCTACACTAACTATAGGTGCTCTAGTAATATACTA